GTTATCACAAGTTATTCTGACACGTAAATATAAATATGCTTTCCCCGTCATTGGTACATTAAAATGTATTATCTTAGTTTTGAAGATTATTTTGAATATTGATAGGTTTATTTCTTCCGTCTTTAAATGATTTTGGTAAACATGGAAAGTGTTTTTCTTGGGTTTATATTTTTTCGTAGTAATTTTACATCAATATTTTGTAAATTTGAAGCAAAATCATCAACACTCCATACATCTTGGATCATTAATTTGTTTCGTTAAAGCCGCAAATCGTATCTTTAACTGGACTTACGTCTAAGGGTACATCTGATAATTACCCTTGTCTTTGCATGATAATTATACAATTTTTGACTATAAGTGTTGGTGACTATTACAATTTTGTTTAATATATCAACAATAAAATTCGCTGAACATTTTTTAACGGTAAATCTAAAATTTGAGTCCCCATTTTTTAGAAATATGAAATTCACTAAATTTATAACTATGGATGTTAAAACGATGTTTTACTCTTTGCGTCTTAAAACTATTAGATATTTTGACCTTCATTAAATTCTACATAGTTATCGCACTACTTACTGGCCTACGACTAATATCACACAGACCGCGACATTCAGATTCAATCACCAACTGAATCAGTACTAAAAGTACGTATAACCCAAAATTATATAACCTACAAATATTATTGTTATTACACGATTAATTTATATTTCCATCAATAACAATAATTTGTCCTGCAATCTGTGACCGATAGTTCAATTGCTTTAGGTGGGTCCAAATTTAAAAATATATATTATTTATGTTTTTGTTATGTCGATTGAAAGGTATACAAATTTGATTGTGCTTAAATGAATTACACTGATGGAGATGAACTACAGGAAAATTTGTTTTTTCTATTTGAAGGTAGATATCCTCAGTATATCCGAGAGTTTTCAATATGTTTCAAGAGTATGCGTCTTTATGTAGTATACCTTATGGGAACGCCACTGATAGTGTTAATAATATAAGGATAAACGAAAACTTGGTAATTATTTCTATTGGTATTCAAGAAAATAAATAAATATTTATTTGTATTCGGTTTACATTCGTGAGAAATTGTTCTAAAAATAAATAAATTTAATTTATTTAAAAAATAATCACGCCTCATAATATCATACAAACTTTTTATAATTAAGTAATTTAAAATGAAATTATATATAATTTCGTTTGTTCGTCGCGGTATCTTTCACAGTTTTAATTTGTAAGTAAATTTACGGTTCTCGTACGGTTCGAAATATTTTACCAAAACTGTAGTCTATGCAATTTCTTAAATTTGTTTAAAATCATCACGAAAATCTGGTATAATTTGTATTATTTTGTATTTTTCGCTGCAGTTATAGCAATTCGTTTATGTATGGGCGATTGTTGTTCTGAAATGTATCGGAAATAAAATATTAACACGCAGTAGATTCTGTTTTGTATTTCAACAACATCTCGTCGATGTGTACGTGTCCCTAACAATGAATATATGCGTAGGTAATTTTACACGACCAAATAATTGAAAATAATGTCTCGAGTTCAATTACTTTTCGATATCCTCATCATATTATGTCGAGCATAAGCGACACTCAGTAAAAACTCATGAGGGTGCACAAAATATCAATCATGATTCACAAACCCGTAGGGGGCGTTGTTCTCACGCTCCCTTAAAAATTAGCTACTTTTTATTTTCAAATAGCAACCTTTATTTAAAATTACACAAGTAGATGGAACATTATTCTAAATACATTTTGGTGTTAAAATGTTTCATTTCCACCAAACTATTGACGAGATATTCCATTTTATAGTACGACAATCATTGATGATGTTCCTAGTCATCTGTGATTTGTAGCTAAAGTCGCATTATTCATAATAGTAAAATCAATGCATCTCTCGCTAATTTTTTTTTTATATGTTTTTAAATAATTAGACTCTACAGAGACTACTTTGAGATCACTTTGACACTTTTTGCCAAACATCAATTTCTCTAAACGGTTCAGTTAGATACGTTTTCCTATAATTGACTTTATCATAACGTTCAATGAAAAATAGCATCCATTACTTGCCTGTATTCTTGTTTTTATTTCATCTTCTGTATCATTATTCTGAGTTTTAAAAGTACCTAGACACTTGAACCCATTTGCTATTTTTAATGTGTAAGCACTTATTAACCATTTCCAAACGAGTGTGTATCATGCACATCTTCTGGAAAAATCGCCCTCTGAGTTATCATACTATACTTTGTCTACATTTATTTCTAATACAACTCTTTTTGTTGCCTTTTCTTTATTTTCCACATTTAATACTAATTCATCAGCCTTTTCTAGGAGTCATTATTTTTTCTATTGCTAAGTAAATAAAATTTACGAAAACGTATCTCCTTGTCTTAAATCCGTTCACATTTTTTGGTTAGTTTTTTACAAGAAATTTCTTACTCGTACCTTTTTTCTGTAAATATATTGCTTGTTTTTATTATGTTAACAATTTTGAATGGGAGATCAAATCGCTTGAGTATATACAATACAGATTTCAATGAATACGGTCCTTGGTGTTCTTAAAATAAATAAATAAAATGTACACTTTTTTATTGTGTTACAATATCTTTTCTAAAATTAATTTTAATATGAACCTTCTGTCAGTCATTGATTTATCTTTTGCTAAACTATGTCTGGTAATAATTTGTACAAGTCATGTATAATATGTTGTGTGCTTTCTTGCCCGTCACGGAGTTCTGCTCCATTTATATTCGGTCATCCACTACAAACTATGGTCAAAATGATCCCTTGTCAACACAGATCTTTTATTCTCCCCGTTTATATACCATATATCCATATAAATTGGTATGTTGTTAAATTGTCATTACTTTGTATATTCTACTATTGTCGTCACTATTAATACGTGTTAACGTTTTTTTGTAATTGAAATTAATAAACAAACAAATAAAATTATGTTCCGAAAAAATAAACATTATAAAATTAATAGCTAACACAGAAAATATTGATAATATAGAAAGTATTGTATCGACATAAAATACCTAAAATAATGAAAAAAACGATGTCATCATGGAATAGGTGTTATAGGTACTAATAATTTATTTTTTTGGAAATCTGTGTTGGAATAAGAAAATAATAGTCACCTACCTAGTCAATTCGAATTACAATATTCAGAGTTTTCAAACTTTTATTACTCGCCAAGTACATTTTTATTTGTGTCGAACGAACCCGCGCGAGAGAGCGAACGATAGAATTATTTTCCCCGGAGCCTTCCTGCTGCAGGAAATAGTTAGGCCCGTATCAAAAACCAACAAACGAGCAATTCCAAAGTGTAAAACGCGTTTATTAGAAATGGAAAGTGTTTTGGGACGTGCAAAAAATAAAAGTTATCATTAGAAAAAAAAAAAACAAATATATTACTGACTTTTTGAATCACCCAGTGATAATTCATGAAAGTCACGTAATCGTTTTTTAGGAAAAATGTTTACATTAAAGGTTGGCATTTTTATACCGCTCGCAATAATATACTTTATTTTTATTCACCTGCAGAGCTTACATATACATTTTTAAAATATTTTTTTTTCAGTCGTTACGTCTTATCTGTATATCCTTACGTGTTAATGAAAAATTACAAAAAAAAAAAAAAAACTACATTATGAATCGGAACGTTTGTCGGGTCGACTAACAATATACATACATGCAAACTAATAAACATAAATATTTATGTTTTTTTTTTTTTGTTTTTTGCAAATGTTTTTTTTGTTTTTATCGGCATTCTAATTTTTTTTTTTACTACCACCATCCCCTTAAAAAAAAATTGTCTTTTATTACCAAGTAATATTGTTACTTATATTTTCAGATATTTGGTGTTCGTATAATATTTATGTAGTATCTATGTAGTATTGTGAGTATTTTTAAATTGTTAGAAACGTAATAATAAATGTTGATGTTGCTTTAGGACTTTCAGGTTAACCTTCTAATTTTATAAAATTACCTATTGTATTATATCAAAGTTAGTTTCATAACGGCGTGTTGTTAATTCTACGCTTAACTTCAAACCTTGTGGGCCTGGATGACAAATTCTCACTTATGGTTATTTGACCACTCACGGGACGATTTCCTTACTTTAATAAGATAAATTTATTTATAATATTCGTAATACAGATAGGACCGGTAGTATGTATTAAGAAAATGTTCAAGTTGAATGTAAAATTTCATTTTTTTTTAATTTCATGATTTTCATTTGTACGCTATTACTTATTTGTTTTGTAACTACTCACGACGTATACCATAATAAATTATACAAAGATCAGAAGATTTATTGTGAAAATTTAAAACATTAGTTTTATATGATGTGTTATACTAGGTAGTTGGTTTTAATTTTCCCGGTATTGATTAGATATCGTGATATTATGTATAAACAAATTCACCGTTTTGTTTTTATCGGTACCTGCCTACTATTAATACGCAACAATTTTTCTGTCGTATTCTTTTAAATTATATTTTAAACTTTAATTTTAATGTTATTTTTTCTGTTTCAGGTAAGTTTGAATTATGCACATAACATTCATCGGTGATAAAAGGTAGGTATATACCTACATGTAAAACGTAAAATCTATAATTTTCACACAAATGTAATGGAAATATTCAGTCTTTGCACAGTAATATAATATATTACAGTTGAATTATTTTAGAGTGAAGGATTTGTATCGAAGATCGACAAAAAATCCGTCTTGACCTCATAAGAACTTTGAAGTCAAGACTTTTGCCACGTAAACGGTTTTTGTTTCTCCTGAACAATCGTCATTTCAGAAGTAGGACAATTGGATATTAGGCTGAGGATTATAATAGTCAACATTAAAACAGGCCGATACTTTGATAGTGTACATTACACATTAATATAGCACTTTTATAATAATCTGGGTCATTCCTTTATTTAAGACAACTTATGAAAATAAACTTATTTCTGTATGTAGTTTAATTTTGTTTCAAAATGTATAATAGATATTAGGATTAGCTCGAGTTTAATAAATGTTCACTCGTTGGCTTAAACGTCGTTTTTATCGAAATAAACTGGTTGTTTGTATTGCCCGGGCAATGGGAAATACAATTTATAATTTCAAATTGAACGAGCTCGAGTCGTATAACAATAACGTACCGAAATAAAAAAAATAATATATATATAATAATTTGCGGTATTATGTTTGCGTTGTAAATATTATCGACTGTCGTCGATTCGCCGTCTTCCGTGAGTGGTATGTATATTATGCGATCGGCGGTTTTTATTAAAATCAGCGGAACACGAAAACAATGTCGTCGCCGGGAGTAAATTTATCGAGTATAATATAAACGGACGTGGCTGGCGATGGCGCGGCGGCGGCGATAAAACGAAACACTCCCCGGAGTCTTGATACCGTCTACCTACGGTGTTTCGAAATTATTATATTTTACGAATGCATATAATACATATTCATCGCGTAACGGCGCCGGCGATAATAACAATGGCGGATTGAGAAAGGAAATAAACGCGTGGCAAAGACACGCGCGTCCGTGCGTTTTCGAAAACTGTTCATTTATTAACATCGTTATTATTATTATTATTGTTATTATTTCTTTTCCCCGTAGGATTAGGGATAGTTGGCGAAGGACCGACGGATATTTGAAACGCCGACGAGTACATTATTATTATTGGTATTTGTCTTATCTATATGTATCGATCGATCTATAAGGTGAGAATTTCGGTCGGATGTTTAAAAATCCCGAAACGTGCCAGTCGCAGTAGGTAATAATAATAATAATAATAATGTAACATATACGGTAACGCTATAATATAATAATACCCGGAGTGGTAGACTAACAAAAAAAAAAAAAAAATATATACAAATAAAAAAACCCTGGGATCTCTTTTATCGCGTTAACTATATATACATACGTATAGCGAGTGGCGTTAAAGGAATATAAAACACTGACGTTCGTGCATAATAATAATACTAAGAATATTGTTCGTTTTTATTTCCACTCGCGTCGTGTTATGCAATTTTCATAGGGCTTAGAGTAAAATAAACACTATACTGACCGTACGCGTATAGCTAATATTTGAATAGTCCCGGGGTTGTATTACAGAATTTTCTCGTTCGAAATTCCGACGTCCCATAAATCCCAAGTGGGTCACATAATAATAATAATAATAATAATAACCGTGGTAGACAATTATAAACACGCCTTTTTTATTATAATTATTAAGTATATGCCTTTCAAATAATCGCGCAATTATATGCCTAAAGTTAGACCAGAACATGCTAAAAAAAAAAAAATAAAAATTAGAAATATTAATTTTAACAAAACACATATGGATACTTACATAAATATAATACGTTTTGTTACCTTATTAATGTATAAAAATCCTAGACAGTCAACTTAGAAATCCATAGTTTGTGACTTAGAAACTCCTTAAAGATGGTTGCCAAATATTTATTTCTAATTGGTCTACGATTTACAGGTAAAAAAATTAAATAACCGTAGCAAAATGAAAGTAAATAATATTTTTGGTAGACTAGAAATGAGCTGACTCGTTGTGTCTCATATAGGTTTTCAGCAATTTTAAAACTAACGAAAAAAAATATTTTGTCTAACTGTGAACAACTTTACTACTAGAAATCTTGTTCAAATCGAAAAACAAACAAGAACCAATTTTCGTTTCGTTTTGGAACTTAATTAAATTACATAATCAGTTTATTTTAATTAATATATTTATAATTTCGTCAATAACTAGTGTGTTAATAATTAACTGATCTAATTTGTTAATACTGCCCATGATATTTCTCTGAATGTAGTTGATGTATTGAAGAGGTATTATTTTGTTTTTACAACAGGTTTTGATAACAATTGGGAATAATCAGAAAAAAAAAACATATGGAAAATACGGACAAATATTTAGGAATTAACATTTTCTCATTTAAAATGTTTGTTTTCTACCAGAAATCTTGCTACGAATTTCTAATGTAGCATCTATTCTGGAAAACCGATAAAAAAACGTAGGGAACTAGAGAAACGGGACAAACGGTTTCATTGTTTTCAATATTAGTTTTTTTTTGTAATTTGGTAAAAACTAGCCCGGTTTTGCATATTGAATATAAACTCTAAATTTAAGTTTAGAGTTTACATTTAATACGAAAATATGCTTACAGTTATCGCGCATATTAAAAATAGCAAAACGCTCGGCGGACAAATGACTTTATTTTCATTGAGGGATTTGCATTTGATTTCTAAAAGTATTAAAAAACATTTCATATTTCTCTGCAATAGTCGAAATACAAATCCGAAAATACCTAATGTTATGTATTAGGAAAATATAGTAATTGATTGACTCATGTGGACAGAGACGGATTTACACAATTGCTACCCCTTGGCAATTTTTTTTTTTCGGCCCCATTAAACTTATCAATGAAAACGAATTTTTAGGTACTTATCTAGCATGGTATCTATTAAAACAAAAACTAATCATATAAACGGTTCCAATCAAACAAATATTGTTTATAAAATATAGTGTTTACTCATCATCGGGCATTACCGAATATCAAGTCTACGAACCTTGAAAGTTGTGTTGAAAATATTCGAATGTCTAATCAGAATAAACTCATGGATAATACCTATTCGGGACTCGGCTGCCCTCATTTCATAGTTATGAAGAAAAATATTACAATTTTATCTTTCAAATAAAAAATAGTTGTATGCTTGTACACGTAATTTGTTATAACCAACACTTGATACATACGTATACAATTTAATTCACTTAGAAACCGTAGAAGGTCAAAAAAAAAAAAACTATTAATTATCTTAATTAAATATTGGCGTGAATTTGCGGCTCTTAAAAATTTGCCGTCTTAAGCCACTACTTACTTTGCCTGACGCCAAACCACCACTGCGTGTGGACCGTAAACAGTAATGATTTTTGCATAACCTCCAAACGTCCGCTACGAAAATTGCACGGTCGCAACGAAAATTGCACGGTCGCAACGAAATGTTTATTGTTATATATATATATAAAAAAAATAAATATATACATATTGAATTTCACTGTGTATTTTTCGGAGGGCAGTTCTGATGCGAACAACTTTGAAACGGGAATGTATTCTGTTTTACATATTCTATTGCAGCGTTCGTATCGGTATGTGTACAAAACGCATCCGCGAGAATATCGCGAGTATTGAATCCCAATAATAACGCAGTGCTATACTGTATCGCCGTTTCGCCTATTTTGAATTATCACAGTGGTGGAGGGGGCGAAAAATAGGTTCACTAGGCTCAGATCGAGGCTAAGATGGGAAGATCAGGTGATGAAGGATATGAAGCAGGTTGTACCGGACGCAATAATATTTAATTTTTCTAAATTTTGTTGCTAATAGTATATTTACTGTACATACTCTACTTATGACAATTGCATTTTTTATACTTAACACTTATACTTAAAACGAAAATATATTCTTTGGCCAACAATACATATTATTATAACGACGATTCCCAGTTGTCATTAGTGCCTCTCTTTCACTAATTTAATGAAGGAAATTCCGGAAAAAATAACAAAGATGAAAATAATTTTATTTCCAACTAAAGAAATTGATTTATATATTTACGCTCTGAAATGTTTTTATATTGTTTTCATAAATATGTTGGTTCAATACCTTCTTTGCTATTGGAAATTACCTACCTGTGTAGATGATCACCAACTTATCATTACTTGTGTTGTTTTTAGAGTGAACAAAATTTTCTCTGTCAACAGTCACCGATTTTTTTGTAAGTAAAATAGTATGTTCATTTTTATAAATGCAAATTTTCAAATTAAAGAAAGGCGGTAAAATGATAAGCTTTAAAGGAGACACTTATATTACTCAAATACTATAAAAATCTGTAATGGTTTTATGATAAACGGGTGTCGGGTACACCTTTAACACACTGATATGCAAAAAATATTAACTTTTTAGTTAATAGTTTATATCTACTTTTATATATTTGTTTTTACATATTTATGTTTATTACTTAATCCCGAAAATTGTATTCTCTACTTGTGTTAATCGAAAAAAAAAATTCTGTACCAAGAAACGGGACGTACGAAATCCTTTTTGACCGAGATAAGAACAGCCTCGCACGGTCGTTGTTTACAATTTCCAAAAAAAAAAAAAAATTATTCGGTCCATTATTAGGACCGTTAATATATAATATAGACCATCGACGAATGTTAATTACTGCGCATTATTGAAACGTATAATACTGTTTAGGTAATATATTAATTTTTCACAGTTGACTACTCGACACACACTCGTATTTTAATCGGTTCGGCCTGCAGTCTTAAGGCGAGTCGATTGTAAATGATTAATAATAATACGATGGGCTCTCGCTCCATTTGGTCGAATATAATCGAATGTTCATTGTTTTAGACGAGGTTTTCTAGAGTTTGCTCGAAGATAATTAAATATTTAAGTAATATTGTGTTCAGCAGTTAGCATTGCTAAATAAGGTAGTTTTTGTTTTTTCTTGCGTAACTAAAGGAACCCAGTAGTCAACAAAAAACTAAAACCTAAAACTTAAAATTCTCAGTATTGAGTTGATGTTGCGACTGTTATATTTTATTTAAAACTTAAACAAAAACACATTCTACGGAAAACGATTTTAGCTGTCACAACATTTTATATTGTTATACATTAGGTTACCTACAAAATTAAAAGAGTTTGTAAGATTTTATTTACTATTAAAAATAAAAAAGGAGCTAATTTATAGGAAAGCAAATTGCATGTACATCTAATTTTATTTTGCTTACCTATTTATAAATATATTAAGCATTTTGTAAATTTATGAGGCATTTTTTTACATTTCCTTTTTTTAATGAGCTCTACAATAAGTTAGCAAATCAAAAAATGCAAAATAATATTTATTAACTTGAGCAACTATTATTAATTTGGTTGACAAGGAGATAAATATTATTTGTAACATTATCAAATATCAATATTTAATATAAATATGAGTATTAATTAATATAAATTCATACTAGCCAATATTAAAAAAAAAAAACTAATACTAAGATCGTGTGTAGGTAGAAAGTTGGGAAGACAGAATATAGTTCTTTATTTTATATCTGAACGCAACGGTAAATCATCGCTAAAGAAAACGATTCTGAGCAAAATTCGGTTGTATACATGTTTTGAAATAGCGCAATTTGTAGGATTTTGGTTAAAATTTTATTTTAAACTGATTATCATAAAAAACTATTATATTCTGAACGATCATATTATTTTTTTTACTACTGGATAAAATATAGTATGAATCTTACGTTAAATTTTTAAATATTTATTTTCGGTCAAAAAATTTTGTCCACACAATACCTACCAAATAAAAAACAACTGGAAAATGTCAAATACCTCTAGCTATAGCTAAATATATAGCTATATAGTTCATAGTTGTCAAATAATTTTAGAAATTTTATCACGTTGAAATAAAAATAATAAAATAATAAAAATAAATTAATAATAATTAAAATAATCAAACCATTAAACTCCGAACGTGTAGTTTACAACCTACTTTGTAATCGCGTGTTTGTTGAACACGACGATAGTGTAATTAAATGTAAATTAATTTTTTTTTTTTTTTGTAAAAAAGGTGTTTAAAATTTCGATTTTGAGTTATTACGGTGTATAATATAATAATTACTATCATAGGGGATGTATACGGCATTGCACGCAGTCCATTAATCATTCACAAAAATCGAAAGTTTCTTGAAATGGACGCAAAAACTAAATTTTCGATTTATTATTTTTTATAACATCATTATACTATCGAGATACACAACAAAATTTTTTCAATTATTTAACGTAAACCTAGTTTACCATAATTATGTAAAATATATAAACTCGTTTTAGTAAAAGCTTGTATAATGAACTCTTTTTTGGCCGGTTATTAAAAATGAATGATCAATAAAAAAATAAAACTCGGTGCTCTTCAATTAACCTTTATCAAAGTTAAATATTGTTAAGGAAAGGAAAACATTATTATTACAAATTGGAAATTATTTTTTGTTATCTTTGGATTGTTATTAAGAGGTCGTATAGTAAATCCGCGGATGAAATTATTTTTTGGATTATTCACGTTTTCCGCATGAACGCTATAATACGACAGAAACCAAATTGTTTTTCGTTGCGTTTTTTTTTTCTGTTTTGATTTTGAGTTATAGTTTTACTACAATTATCGTTTATTGTTGTTTTTGTTTGCTATAACTTGGCTAAATAACGATGTACGGGTAAAAACGCATTCATATAATGTCTATCCAGAGATGGGAAAATAATTTGCATGTCGGTACTCGTATTTCTTAGAATTGAGAAAAACATTAAAAAAAAAAACATATTGTTCTTATTTGCAATACACGTAGTATTCTTAAACGATTTTGAAACGACTGGTATGATCGATTTACATGAGACATTTGTAAATCAAAACGGGTTTGCAATAAAAATAAAAAAACACGATTGTGTACCTATCTACCATGCGTGATGGCAGACGTCACAAATAGTACAGATGTGACTGTTACAGACATGTGGTCATTTTTCGACGTTTCATTTCATCTATAGAAATTGGTTCCGTTCGATGCGATCAGATGGATGTGGATCCGATTGGTGGATACAAAACATTAAATTTCCTCAATGAAATTTTACGAGCACGAATAAATAGTAAAAGTCAGTATCAACTGATACTGAATACGGTGGTTTCCCCTCTCCCCCCATCGAATCATAGATTATTGTTAAAATTATTAAATAAACTCTGACGATAAGAGATAATTATGTTCAAGAATATTTTCTAAAAAAAACATTCTTATCATCAGTTTGCATTATTAAAGTACCTATAGTTTTTCAAATTTTAAAAACGAGCCCTAATAAATTGTGCAGCGAACGGTTTTTCTTACCAGTGCAGACACTTTTTCATAAAAAAAAAAACATTACAATGCGAGAAAGCATATTTACATAATAATACCTAGTTTAGCGATATTACAATTTTATATACCTAATCGTGTGTGTTTTTTTTTTCAATTTTCAAAGTCCATACAAATTGCCCGTATTCTACATACAACTAGGAACAATATTTTTGTAAACTACAGAGTTGTTACGTCGTAAACTAATTGAAATATGTTGAAACTCTGTTAACGAGAAAATTAGGTAATTTAGTCAAGACAAACAAACAAAGTGAAACCGCAACGCCGCCGTCGCTGCCGCCAAAATGAAGTTTTTGAAAATATAACGTGAGAATGTTCGGTCAAAAAGTTATACCGGTGGTGAGGTTGGTTGTGTAAACACTGTTAACACAGCGTTTAATCCCGCAATGCTTATACACACGGAAAAAGTATCATCTAATGTGTCACAAGAAAAAAAAAAAAGGAAAAACTTTTGATATATCAAAAGAGAACGTTGAAAATGTTATAAGAAAAAAAAAACCGTGAATTTAAATATATTTCACCGCTCGAATATGAATACGTTATGTATCGACGTTGAAATAATGACGAATCGCCTAAAAACTGGACGGGTTGTTTACAATTTTCGGAAAACTTTCAAGTGGTTGTCGAACAAGTCAGAAACGTTATGATGTATAAGTGTACTCGTATTTTTACAAACGGTCTTAAATGTATCCCACAAATTTTTCGATTTGTATATACAGGGTGACCAAATTAAGTGACTACAATCGATATTTCGAAAGGTATTGATTTTTATCAAATTTTTTTTGTCTTGATAATTCAAGAAACAATCAGATCTTAAAATTTACATCAACATTATTTGTTGTCATTCTTATTTTTGGAATACTATTTAAACCCTACCCTGATCACCGTGTTACCATACAAATGATGCTCTACTATTCTCCTTCTAACCAAACTTAAAAGTGGAATATCTCGTTGTCAAAGGGTCGACGGAAATCAAAAGTTTCAACGTCAACGTGTATTTAAACTAATACTAGATCTATCTATCGAATTTTTATTATGTGTTTCTATTAGAAAAAACAAAAGTAGGTAATAGTTTCAGTCATCGGAATAAGGATGGCAAAAAAATAATATCAATGTTACATTATAGACCTGCTTATTTCTTAAGTAGTCAAAAAAAAAAAAAAATGTTTTTTTTTTCTTTCAAAAAGTCAATACTAAATTTTGTAAATCAAGTGTAGGCTCTTAAATTGATCGCCCTGTACTGTCGAATCACACATAATAATAATAATAATAATAATGATAATGCACGTTACGGTCCGAAATATCAAAATCCGTTTTACTCGAATACAATAATATCCCATTAAAATCTCCGCAGTATATTGTTTACAACAGATTCGATATCAATATATTATAGTCATCGTATGAAATAAAATATCACTCTTCGCTGCATGTGTATTATTTTGAAAAATCGTCGGGCGCCGCTCCGAAAAGTTTTATGTATACTCACATAATATTTAATATTTTGTTTTTCAATTGTTATACCCGAGTCGTAATATTGCATTCGAATACTCGTGTTACGCTTTGAACCCATATTATTACGTTATCGTTTACTATGCGGATTCGGCTCTACCATATTAAATGATAATGTTACCGTCGTTAGTACGGTACGAACATGGATATAAAAAGCAACTAGATAACCATCTCTTTTTGTACCAATGAGGTTTGGTGGTCATATCCAATGTAGGACAATGTTTTCAAATATTTTATTTTATTATCAAATTTTCCTTATCGTGATAATCGTTGCGATTTATTTGACGTCAAATTATAGATTATTTCTGCTTCAAATGCAAATAATAAATTATATGCAACTATTAATTATATATATATATATATAAATTGTTTATTAGTTGTTTTAACTTTTAAGTTGGTAAAACTTCATGGTAAACTCATGTGGTGTACACATATCTTAAAACCGTTCTACATAAGTACAATCGGTAGAAAATTTATATCTTTCTCATCTTATGTTGTAATTAAATATTAGGTACACATGTGCCTAGTCAATTTAATTTGCTTTAAAAAGCTAGCTAGGTTCGTTCTGTATATTGGTCGATGTCACTGTTCAATTCGATTTATAATGGATTTTTAATTCCATAACACATGAAATCACAAAGAATATGTCAACCTCTATAACGCAGATACTCTTTATCTTATGTCGTATTTTCTAGACTGGGGCATAGTTTAAACGTAACTGTTATAAATTTATAAATCAAAGTTTTACCTTATGGTCATTATTATATAGGTATCTCTCCCTTTTCTCACAGTATTCAGCTGTAGTTCCGAAACGGTCGTTTTACCGATACATAAATGTGGTATCCACGCTTCCTTCTAGGGGTTTTTTTTTTTTTATTTGAGGGGACGGATACTAAATACAATTATTTTAAAATGTTAATGGTAATTATTTCTAAAAGAAACCCGAGAACAGGCCTTTGCAGAAGCTTGTATATGAAATAAACTACATTAAAATATATTTTAACTAATTTGATATATATGTTACCGTTAAAGTATTGAATCAGATATTTTATAATTTAATTTAACGTTCTAGTTAAAGTGTTAACATTCATAAAAAAAATAAAATATTTTATATCAGATTGGTTTTGGAGACATCTTAGTCATAAAAAAATTGTAAACAAAAATGTATATTTATACTACTCTCCACTTTATCTAATCACACTTAATTTTATGTTTTACATCTTCGTCGAAGCCATTGTTCTTTTGTAAAAAAATTTTAGATAGGTGCTTAAACTCAACTTTGTCACTTTCATTTTGATTTATCACTTGAATCGGTACAATAAATATTATAAATATTTCTCTACTTGAAAATAGTGACCAAGCATCACATATGAGTGTACAATAATACACTGAGAGTCGATTATCTAGTAAAATACCTTTATTATGCATATTATATTTAAGGGTACGGAATCCGCACTGGCGAAGACGTACAAATTATTAAATTCCCAGAGTAGTTACTGGCCATAGCCACGACGATAGGTATGAAGAATTCCTATGCCGTAATAATTATAATATCAATATCGTTAAAGTCCGGCTGTGAATTATTTACCATCGCGTAATATCAGGAATGTGAGTAAAAACTTTGACGGGTATACCGTTCTCGTCAATAATGTCCAGCGAATCGGAAGACTCGTTCTTTCGGGGCTATTATTAATTCTAGCACGCATTAATAATACTATAACCGAGATGATAAAACTAAACCACAAAACGATTTAAACCGCAAACGCGTAATTAGTTGTATACCTATAAAATAGTAAACAGTTAACGTAAACCGAGACAGCAAAAGAAAAAAAAATCGGCACGAAAACGTAAGCCTTTTCGATCCAATAATTTAAGTATCTTCTCCTTCAAATTATTCTTATTGTTTCTATCAGTTTGATTGAAGTGGACAGGGCATGTCTGGATTTATATAATTGACTGCAATATTTTTTTCCGGATAAAATAATTATTGTTTTCCAAAAGTGTAGAATATAAATTATGATATTAATGAAATATTCTAAAAACAACAAACGCCAAAAATTTTTTGATCGCTTGTTTGGATTTGTTTGAATGTATAGGCCATAAATCTGAAATAAAATAGCATTAACATTAGAACGTTAAGCTCTGTTGCAGAGGTTCCACGGAAGCGATTCAGTCGCTGCGTATATTTCATTCATAAAGAACAATTCTATAGAGTATCAAATATAATAATATAACAATAGTGTTTGTAATTCAACATTTTTAAATAATTTTTATGGTTTTCTTCCGCCGTGTCAAGTTATAATGTTAACTCAAATAATTTATGGCGGGCGAATTTAAGACGGTAAACGGCTCGTATATATAGTTGCGTTGCAAAACACCGCGAAACAAAATTATCTTTACTACTTAGCGAATCGTTTTCGGTTATAAATCATCTAGAAAAATAATACGAAATATAAGACATATACTCGCCCAATTTTAGTTTCAAGAAGAAATCAAATGAAAAATAAGTTCATTATATTTGATAAACTATATACATTTAACATTTTTATAAAATCGTCTCAAAATATTATGGTCGTCAAATTGTATACTCTTGTAGGATAATATATATTCGGAGTGAAATGAAACTAAAACAAACATTGCGATCACAGACGTCGTCATCTCGGCTCGTTCTTTATGATTGTTCTCGTCGTTTTATTTTCTATCATTATATGCAAAATAAAATCTACGTCTGATCATATCGGTGATAAAACGAATGTAGGGAATTTCAATTCAATTCGTTTAACTATTGATTTATGATGGAACTGTTTGTACGTCTGTTATATTGGAGCGAGTCGTCGTTTTTCGTCAGTCAATTATATTTAAAACATTTTTCGTGTTTTAAAAACTAATTCCACTGTTCAAAACCCATACGAAAAAAAAAAATAATAATATAAATTAAAAATCAAATTTACAAATTCGATACATTATTTTTGGTTTTATTATGTAGCGTAGCGTGGATGTAAATATATTTATTTACCTGCTCTATAAAAATAATCAGTCTAAAAGTATTCTGAAAACACTATGCACACGATATCCTATATAATATTATAAACGCGAAAGTTGGTATGTTTGTTACTTACTCAGTACCGTACAAACAGCTTAAAAGATTTCGTTAACAATTTGGCGGACAGATTTAACCCGGAATAACTAGATACTTTTATCGCGGAATTCAACCCCTGTGTTATCATTTAATTTTAAATTCCGAGCGTAGCGAGAGGATTATTAGTTTTAATAAGATGTTTATTTCTTTTTTTTGGTTTATCATTACTTACGGATATAAATAAAATAACCTTACGTTTTTTACCTTCCTAAATTCTCACCTAAAACAATTGCCACTACCATCCCCAGTATCAGTTGTGTTTTATTCAGTCTTAAAATTCAAAATTAAAATTTATGAAAATTAATGAAAATTAATATTTGGTTTCTATTGATTATTTAATCAAATATAAAACAATTTTATTTTATACTAGTTGTCCGGCGCCCGGCGTTACTCGTGTTAATTTTGTAATTTGTTTATATTCCTTTTTTTTTCTGTTATACGTTTTTTCAATGTATTGGAAAAGCCGGAAAAATGGAGAAAAACGAGAGGACGGGAAAATAGGTACAATATTAAAGAAATATTATAAAAGAACATTTTTAATGCAAATGCAATTATTAGTAATCGGGTTTCAATGCATTTGCATCTTTTTTTTTTAATTTGTTACATGACGCATTCCAGGCTACAAATCTATTTCAAGTTCTCTATGTTGTAACTGTATACATTTTTGGACCATTTTTTGAATTTTTATTGAATTTTATACTTTTTGGAACATTTTTAACGTTTTTAACGCATTTTAAGATATTCTTAACGTATTTCTCTAAAGAAACCATGGATACCATAGATACCAACCCAGTACAGCATATAGATTTTTTTTTTCATTTTATCCGTGTTACTAAGGTATATTGGTATACAATTTACACGTTTGTTTTAATTATTTACTTTATCGAATTAAATCGATGCCTAAATCCTGCTCTGTGATATCCTCTTTAACTTAAAAAAAAAAAGCTGCACGACGGTTGAATAAGTAGTTTTGAAGCCAACCCGTAACAAAGATATACATTTTCGCTTTTATATATATAGATAAAAACCCATGAGAAACATAATTACATCACTTTAGTCAAATTTTCCAAATATTTACTGAGAAATACATACAGAAATTGTATCTCATAGAAATTAGTTGATGACATTGACTAGTGGTTTAAGAACCACTAGTCAATGTAACTTAACCATGTTTAACTCATATCACACTTATCCACGACAATCAAACACTGCGTCACTGTACTGTTAAAATATGCATAATGCATTGAAATACTAGGTTTTAAACAATTTTAATTGTAGTTTTTAGATAGAGAATGTTAATTATTTAAATAAAAAAAAAAAAATACAGTACGCAGAAAACCTATTTTCATTTCTTTTACCCGAGGATTTATGTCACCTTTACACTGGGTCCATGTTACCTCGGTTAAGAATCACTGACATAGACTAAATCATCTTTCAAATATCTTTCAAATGGTTAGGCGGGCGTAAATATGTATCAATACTTTGTCCGTTTCGTGTCCGTTCTTTTTTCTGAAACTAGTAATAATCCAAGTAAGTGATCTTCCGTCATCATTTTCAACACTAGACACATCACCCCGAAATTCCTCATTATTTTCTAATAAGTTAATAGATGAAATTTTATTAGTAATTACATTTCGATAATTATTTATTTAGTTGAAATTGAAACAAAAACAAAATACTTATTTATTTTACACATGGTTGCGCGAAGTAATTGATATTTTCCGAATACGATACGGTTAACGACACGGTTAACGATAGTGGACGGTTCTGGCTTATTTATTCCATAAAACAAGCTATGATTCTCTGATAAAGAACAACAGCTATACAATGCATCGGGCATGTTTTTTAGTTTGGGAAATTCGTAAAGGCATAATGTATATTCGAGCAAGGAGATTGTATATGCCACGCCGACGCCGTTAGAAAGTTAAAACATATTTAAATGAAATTAAAACTTATTATACTATTAGTCATTTATGTGTATATAACTAAAATCGTTAACAAAAAACAGATATTCTGTTAAGGTAAAGGGAGTAGGAGAAGGGTGAAGAGTAAACAACCAGTGGCATTTAATTTGCAGGCATGGGCGGGTACACCGGCTAGTAATGTTATAAATGTATAATTAAATATGTTTCATCTGAATACAAACAATTTGAACGTAATTATTATTAGAAATGTCTTTTATAATTACAAAATTGTTATTCAGTTCTTAAAACTTTTCATGTCAAATCGATATCGAAACGATTCATTAACCGCTTAGGTACAATTTTGTTTTTATAATATTTTCGGCTTCATCGTTTTTGTTTTTTTTCATTACGAACCGTTTAACACTATGGAATAATAATTACACCTTATATTAAAGCACCGTTTATTTGTAGGTAGGAAGATGATTTTAATTTATATAAATATATATTACACGCTCTCGCCAACTGCAAGTATTTATGCAATTAAATGTATATTATTAATTTACAGTTAATGAGTTTTGGTTGGCATTATAATATAATGCGTGCCGGAAGGAACGTTCGGGTCGATTACTTTTGTAATAATATATCACGTCGTAAAAACGGTCTTAGGACGGTGTAACTACGTAAACAACCGAATAAAAACCGTCTAACGATATGTGCATTTTAAAATATTTATTTATTTATCGCGTTTGTACCAAATTTGTTTTCATTTTTGTTTCATAACTACATCGGATTTACAGACAACGTTCTATTAGGTTCTTGAATACAAACAGGCGAAATAAATATGATTAACTGCTTCGAAATCGTCCTAAAAGTATTCATACTTCATATTCGCTACCTATCTGAATAGTTGTTCTTTGTTAAAAAAAACGTTCGAGTACTTCATAATACTAATTTATCGTGATCGTGTTAAGATAATATATCAATTATCCCAGTATTCCTTTAAAATTTATTGGTTTATTATGGCGTTTTATGATTTTTTGTTATTTTCTTTTTTAATCGAAAAGGATTTCACAAAAATACGCTGGAGCAAAAATCAATTCGCTCTCTATTGGTTGCATTTCGGAAAAGGTACTATGCAAGTTTTACTCGCTATGTCTATAATATTATATCGCATGTATAATTTATATAGTAAACTATAATACTGCAGTCGGGGACGTTTAATACCTAACTGTCTTAAACTATAATGTTGGTATTCACGTTTCAAAGTATTTTTCCGGAAATTGGACCTCCCCCTGCTCGTGTTATTGTAGTTGAAGTATTATCAGTGTTGTGTAATACTATATTATATTTATTATACGGAGAAGTAATATTAAGACTTATACGTTCCTAAAGTTTATTGGACTCGTCGATCCGATGCCAGCAGATTCCGTGGAAAAACAATAAGCCGGTCGTAGGTCCCTTTGTCAGTTTGTCAAAGAGGTTTGTATCGTGATCAAATCAATTATACGCAAAATATTGTTTCTATGTATTGGTGATCATAAACCAGCTATGGAAGATATTAAATTTATTTTTTTTTGAAAAAATGTTTGATTTGAACATTTCGAAAATATAGACTAATTGCGCTGTGTTGTATCTCTTGTACTTATTTATTTACATGGTGTCTAACAAAGTTTATACCCATTGTGATATCACCGGTTATAATGAAGATAATCAGATTCTATTTGTTTTTTTGTATTACTGACAAGGATGAGGACTACAAACATGTTATTTTAAAATTAATTTTTCATGTTTTAGTAAAAAACTGGTGCACGGAGTATGTGTCATACATGAATCATTTTGATAGATTCGAATTTTAACTCTCATTCCTAACCATTTTTATACTCATATTTCATGTTTTACAAGAAATAATTTGTTGTAATATTATAGACATATGAAAGTAAATAACTGGGTTAAATGTGTCTATATAAATATGATTGTTGTCAAGGATGTACCTTTAGAATGTTTGATCTCTCATTCCCCAACTCCACCGTCTGTTTGCATATTAGTAAAAATCTCAAAAATTACTTTACATATTTTGATAACAATTTTTTCAATTCCATATTATCATGTAAAAAAAAAAATTGAACTATTGTAACGGCAAGTCAGCTGGAGTGGTGGGACTTTTTTGATCTTATTTTAATATCGTCTAAGTTTTATTTTAAAATGTTTATCCTTACTCTGTATAAACTAAGTGAATTTAATTTTTTTATTTTCAAATAGGACACTCCTCTCTTTCATTTTAAAAATAACCTCAAGAATTTTATAATAGAAAATATATTCTGTTTACTTTTATTATGATTATGTAGCAGACTTATATCGAATTTACTGTTTAAATAATAAAAAAATATATTTTCGTTTTGAAATCCGATCATATATAAACTATAGAGTGACTGCTCATATAATTTGTGTAGAAAAAAAGTGCGGTATAGTTTTTAAATTTATCGTATTCCCATTTCCGTATACACTTATCGTCCATTTATTTATTTATTTTAATTTATATGGGATAGATCTAATAAGAGTATTTGTCTATCCGTTTATTGAGACGATTTTGACTAGAAGAATAAAGTAAGGTTTAGACAATAGACATCATGCATGGTTTCTGGTTGCGTTTTGTTTTTAGCACATATATGTCTTGTCAATTATTATAAATAAGTACCTAAGTAACATTTTCAGAAAGATCTTTTACAGTGAAGTTAGAAAGTACATTGTATTATTATTATTATTTTTAACATTGCGTGCACATGGTAAACGAATCAATTGTATAGGAAATGTATACATAATTAATGCAATCTTTTGTTTTAGTGGTAAAATAATTTAAATTGAACGCTTGTTTATTAAAAAAGAACAAAACAAAATAAATAATGATAATAATAATTACAATAGTAAATAAATTTAAAGAATTCCTTGTAGGTGGCTTTGTATTATTTTAAATCGATTCAAATCCAATATTCCAAAAAAAATATTTCTTTAATATGAAAAATTAATGTTATATTTTTAAAAATTATCTTTTATCGGAAATCGCTGAACTTTACAGTCACTATAATGATTGGGGCCCATTTATTGTTATAGCCTCTTCTTCCGGTCCGGCTGCAGTTTGAAGTAGAGAATTAAGTGGCTTCTAACGGGTCGCATATTTGTATACTGGAATCCATTTCGGTACCAGGCCAGTCGTGATTGATCTATTCAAATTACGTACTCGTCATCACTTTTATTTTAAGTATATTATTTACCTTATCATCCAAATCCATAATGGTTCAATGGATTAACGATAAAAGATTATATTATCTATTTACAATGTTATCAGGTTTAAATCCAATATCATAATGACACGTCGTTGTTTTTCATCAACTCAGTTACTACTGATAAGATTTTAGGTATTCGTAGGACTTCGTATTCTTTGGAGCAGCATCATGTTCAGACTAACGGGTAGTATAATTATACATTTATCGTTATATCGTTATCACATGATTTAAATAAATATTGGTAATACTCACTGACGATTGAGATAATCCGTAAAATTATTAAACTGGAGGTAAATTCAAATCGACCAATCAGATATGGCCGTGCATATGTCAAAACTAGTTGTAAAATGCTAAAACGCTGATGGGTTATCTCCGCACAACGCCATTACAAAATGCAAAATTTAATTCCACCGAGAAGTATATCAGCGACAAACAAAACACGGACGGCGTGCCATAGTTCCGTTGGTACCCCAATGAACTTGAATTAGCTAGGAAGCAATTATTTTGATTGCACAGTGTGATTTAAGTCATACAATGATGCCGCGGTGGAATGTACACATTTACGAGTATGTATAAATAAAGGACGAAATAGTATAATACGGGTGGAGAATATATAAATAGAAGTGCCGGAAGTCAGCCGGAAACGTGATATACTTCAGAGGTGAAATATGTGCGTAAAGTGATTGAGTGTGTTGTTTTGGGCCTTTGATTATTATAAGTTGATAACCGCCAAAGTCATAAATAACGTGCCAGGCCGAATATACTTTATGTATGTATGTATGTATGTATGTATATAAATATAGTTATTATAATTAATGAAGAAAAACGAATGTACCTACTTATCTAGATGTAATTATGCAAACATATATGCATGGTTGTCAGTAAAAAATGACACAAAAAAAAGAAGTTATCTACAGTAGGTGTTTTTTTTTTTTTATAATTAGTTGGAATGTTTAAAAAAGTTACAATAGTGTCCAGATTCTCTCGAGCGGAAACGATTATATGTCGTTGTTCGGTTTTTATTTGAATTATATTAAAAATCAATATTTTATTGATTTATTGGTGATTTCATTATTTGGTAATTGACTGGTTACTATATGAGCGAAAACGGCATAAATATTCGACTATTATTTATGTATAATATTGTTATACGGTAAACGAGTATACTATGCATTTTTGGTATTCGAAAGATAAATATTTGGATCTGTAAACCAATAAAGAATCACATAATTGGAGAAAAGAAACCAAGAAAAAACAAACAATGGTAGGAGAATAGATTATTTCAGAGATCATCGAAAAAATGTTTCGTTGTGACCATTTTCCACTACTTCGGTAAATATCAAAACAGTACCTAGTAAGGAAAAAACTTTCGGAAGGCCGATAATGATGCAAGACGTAGTATAAAGGATCTTTAGGTGGAACACATTGGACGATTTCAACGATGGTTATGAGCTGGAAGATTGGTATTGAGAACGGTTAAGATTTATTAATGTAAACTGTCTGAATGTGAACTTTTAAACTAATGAAATAAGTCGATTATTCTAATTTTGATGTCGACGTATTTTTGATAGTTTTTTTTTTTTTTGATTTTACGTGATATTAAGGGTTTAACTTACATTTTATTTTAATCTTTTATATCTTCTGCAAGTTTTGTAGCATAATATGTAAAAATCAATAATTTTATGAAAACCGATTAAATGATGAGTATACACTATACATATAAATGTTCAATAGATAATTATATTGATTGTTCAGAAGAATTATATAAATAGAGACGTATTTTTTGTCTTTTTCATCATAATTTTTACAAATGTTTCTAACAATAATTATTGCCTTTATTTATGATATTTAACACGTATAAACTCATATTATCTATTCGTTATTTGGTTTATTCGCCATACGGTTATTATATTATATTATCACTTATTATCATTAATAATTATAGTAAAAAAAAGAAAAAAAGATAGGCTTTAGTGCACCATCAATTTTACCAACGATTCCATGGTTAATAACTACTGTGAGTTCAAAATGTGCAACTGCAATTTTATTTGAAAAATCAACTGTAAAAAAAAAAAAAAAAATAAAAAAAACTTTCTTCTGTAAGTATTCAGAACTGTTTACATATTACACGTCACATTATTTTGACTTAATTGTCTAAATCTATAAATTTTCATTTTTTAAGTAACGGAGATGGTTTTTTTTTCCATTATTTTTATAGCTATTAACAGGTTTCTATTTGTTTTTATTATTATGATTAGAGCATAAGTAACAATATATTTTTTTTTAAACTTTGATTATTCATATTTTTTTACTGTTAAACATTTTTTTTGTTTTGTGTTTACCTAAATTATGAAATTTATAATTATAGTATATTGCACTCTACAATTTTGAAATAAAACTAATTACAAAAAGTGTTAAAATATTAAACACAGATTCAAAGTTCAATCATCGTTCCATTAATAAAAACTTTTAATTAAAACACTTGGTTTTATATAATAATATAATATAATATAAGTTTTATAATTTTTTTCTTCTAGCCACCACCAATCTGCTCCGTCTGTTTTACCCTTTGAAGTTTTATTTTTTATTTTACATTGATGATTGTTTGTTTTTTCTATGCAACTGTTGGCTTTTACTGAGATAATTTCTACTTTGAGTTTTATATAATATAAATTATATGTTTAAAAATGCAAAATTGTATAATGTTTGGTTTTAATATTGTAAAGGTGAGAATTAATTTTGATAATAATTTTACTATTAAGTCATGTCATAAGAATTCAAACTATCCACTAACAATTTTAATTTAAAAATAGTTTTTAGTTATTCCTTATTGTAAAATTACATGTTTTTAGTGAGTGGGTTTTTTTTTTTTTTTGTTTTGTTTTAATTAAATTAAATTAAATTGTCTGGACTTTGGATTTAAGTTACAGCATAGACAAATTATATTTTAAGGAGCGAAACAACATTTGAGGCTTTTATTAATTCTGTATATATTAAGTTTTTCCATTAATTATCTGATACTTGCAAAGTTTATCTTCACATTTTCGTGTCGGTCAGTATTTCCTTTTTTTAAATAAAATCTCGAATTTTCCCAATATTTAGGTTGAATTAGGTCATTCTAAAGCTATTTTTTAGACCTTGATTTCTGATAATCAAATAAATATTTCGTTTTGCACTCACTTTGTAAAAACTCATACTATACACTCAAACAAATGGCCTGATATTTATTTATCTCCACAGTCACAGTTAGCGATTTCTGTCATTCTCCATCTATATACTAAAATTGCCCTTAGTTCTGTCTACTTGTGTTTTTAGATGAACAAGGGTTTTAAATATTATTCTACAAGGTCGATAAGGATTCTATGGGTGTGCCCGATATTCAATAAATATTTATCATGGATTGCAGTAAATTTACAAAAAATATTGTAAAAAATGTCTTGGAAAGTTGAAATAATTCGGTTAATTTGAGATAAATATTGTTTTGTAATATTTTACGCTGAGGAATATTTTTACATTTTAAATGAATATTTTCCACATTTGCATAGTAAATACATTCTGGCGCTCACATTATAATATTTCGGTTAATGATTCACAGTTTGGGTCGTTCAATCCAAACAATTATAATATAATAATATATTCGAATTTGCGAATAACTTTGCAACGGAAACCACTAAATATTAATAACGACTCCGTCGGAATTATTAAGTATTAGTATAAATAACGACTAATACACTAAATATTAAAACCACCACAACATGTTATACATAATAGTATGAAATAGTATAAATACCGAAAACAAAATACCCAGGCAAAGTATAAAATATATAGCTGATACATGTGAAATAAATAGGATTTCTGTATAAATAACGATATATTGTTCTAATTGTTTGTAGCGACGAATGCATTGGTTGTAATATGCGCTTACTATTATTTTTCTGTCCGTAAATTACTTATCTACTATGCATCTTGCTTCAAACGAAAAATAAATTGGGTCTTATTTTGTTGCATAATGAATCTGATCGGTGGATTGAGGTCATTTTTTGATTTTCTAAGCGGTTTTAATAACAATTGAGGAAATTTCTAAAAAAACATAAAGGAAAGACTGGAAAGTTTATGATAATAATATTTTCGTTATTTTCGATTTTGTTTTTCTATATAATAAAGTTTTAATTGATCTTAGTGATGTGCAATTTTCTCTAAATACTTATATCTGCATTTCCTAGTAATTTCTAAATTTATAGGAATTTTACATTTTCTAGTTCCTTTTTAGATATTTTTTTGTAGTAGTTATGTGAATAAAACTGTTCGGGTTTGACCAAATAGAAATTTAACGCGTAAGGCTCATTATAAACTGTAATTTTAATGTGGCAGTTTTTTTTATAAAGCATTTTAAGATTAAATTTTAACAAAAATCGGAAAAATTTCAGTATTTCAAAAGATATATGAAGCTTGGTCTACCTTCTTCAAATCGTTTTTCATTAGCAATCGTTTATCGTAAAATATAGATAAAAATTAAATTGCTTTATTTATCCTCTCTTCCCAACTTCCTAGTGATAACACTGATACGTCCATCAGCAGTATCAATTTTATTTTTTTTAGCTAAACATTTAACATCGTATAAATAAAAAAAACATAATGGACTTTTTTTCTCATATTGTTCTCTAATATTCTTCCTTTTATATATTTCGTTATAAACATAATCGAATTACCGCTTGTGTACTTGCGTTCGGAATGAATAATTTTTTTCGAAATTGTATTACATTTTTATTTATACGCGTAATTTCATTATGTTGACAGGATGGGTAAAGATATTATTTTTATTATTATTATAATCATCAAAATTGTAAAAATAACATTTTAAATTATTTTTGCGTGCACAACAGCGTTTTGCATAAAAATTTGAAACGGTCGTGAAAGATAATAATATACAGCTTTAAGAGATTATTTTATTTTTTACTCCGTGCTCTGACTATTCCACCGTGAATAAATATTATTGCCATTCTAATACGATATTTGGAACGTTGCTAAGCCTTGCGCGACACCCGACAATGAAAAACGTCCGTTCGTATTATACTTTAGTGGTACAGGTAACGTGGACGACATGGGGTGAAAGAGAAAAACACAAGTATTTTTATTATATACTATTGTCTAAAATATTTGAAGAATAATCTACAAACACGGTTTTTTTTTCAGAAACTAATACCGTGCACTAATTATATACTCGTATTTCAGGCAGATTGTTTTTTGATTTATTTCTAGTTATTGAATTTGTTGTAAAACCGAATTCTTTAAACTACAAAGATATTTTGGTTTGCATTAAATTCGAATCATAATAATAATCATACAAAAATAAAATATCATTATAATAACGACGAAACATACTTTTGATAGGGCGCATCGTCCATTCGGGAAGCCGTAAAAAATGTATATCATCCTATGATGTAGCTATAATATTATAGCTTATAGAATATGTATGGCTTTTATATTCGGAGCAGAGCAAAGGATCTATTGGTATTTGATTTTACGACGATGTGATTCTTATATTTGAAATTGTTGGGTTTATGTTTTCTAACAGTTATATTGCTCCAATATTAAATCGACAAAAAATCCTTTATTGTTGCATTCTTAATCTAGTCGGGAAAATGTATGAAAATAATGCTTTGATTATTTTAAATTTTGATTTTTTTTTTATTGTAATCCAGTTAAACATTTTCGTAGAGACCTATTAATAACATAAAACTATTATTTGCGTGGTAAAATCTTAAAGAAGTTTAGACCTTTTGTGAGCTATTTATAGACATTTAAATTTTTTATGGTTTTTGCGTAATTTTTATTTGGTAGGCATTCTGTGGATAAAACAACTTGATCAAATAGATGGGCTTTACAATTAAACAGAATGCTCATTATAAATTGAACATAGTAGTGAAAAAAAAAGTTGTGTGAAGAAATTTTTTTTTTTTTTTTGTTGTACGAATATAACATTTCGATAAAAATCGTAAATATTACAGTATTTTAAAACATTTATATCCTAAAACTTATACATCGCTTTGAATCGTTTTCCGTTAGCAATGGTTTTTCGGTGCTTACTGAGATAAATTAAATGGTAGCTTTACATTTCCATCGCCTACATTTCCAATTTCCACCTACAACAACGGCACATTCTCCCTAGTATTATTAGTTCTTTTTTTTTTTAATTTAGCTTTTTCGTGGTTTTTAACGAACTTGTTGTAGTAAATATAATAATCGCTTTTGAAAACATCTTCAATACACTCAATAATAAAATAAATTACGATTTAAAAAAAAAAAAAAAAAAAGTTTATTAATCAACTACCTTCATTTTATTCTGGTTAATTTTTAACGTATTCTTGTAATTTACTTTGAATACGACTGATTAAGGTGGAAAATTATTTAGGCTCTGTAATATTGTACTCCTAAATAATAAAAATATGTTTTTCTTTTACCGTTACAAGGTATGCACGAGGATTAGATTTTTTTTTTCCAAGTATTTCGACTTTATAAAAATAAATAAATAGGTTTATTACTTTGAAACAATAGGACGTATTATACATTTCAAGTCGAATAAATTATACACGCGACCGAATAATAAATCACACGTCTGTACCTGTTATATTTATATATATATATATAAAAAAAAAAATCGACTTAATTACATTTTATTGCGTTACTCTGTTGTGTAGGAGGAACACTCATTTTTCATATATATGTATATAATATATATTGTTTTAATAACCACACTCCAGCGGTATATTGTATACCTACAAAATCCAATTAATCCATGGGTTGATAATCCATCGAATTACGATCTCTGGCTGCTTTAAACAACTGTGTATTATTGTTCCATATTATTATAATTCGTTTATAAATTTAATATCGAGGCATCAGGCTTTAAGGTTCTGAAATCTCTTAGTTTCCGAAAAAGAGTTTGTGTCAAAATTAAATTGACAGCTCCTCTGCTAAAAGTTTTGTATAGTGTGTTTGATCGGTCGGTCTTGGAGTTTAAAGTTGTTATTTGGCAACCGCAAGGTTACTGAAAAAAATCGAGAGCAATGTTTTTAATATTTATGTTTATGTTCCCAAAGTTGACCACAAGCTGTGCAACAATGAGCCCGTAATGTGAACCCAGTAGGATTAAGTTTGCATTCCTTAGCGAATAGACATGTTATTGTGAACAAGGTATTCCAAAAAGAAGGCCGATCGTAGGGTTTTTAGAGGAAAATTTCCCGAAAATAATAAAAACCCAAATTCTCCGAACTGAAACTAGCCGACGGGGTTTTTGCATTTTTTTTATCTATCTTACTAACATTCATCATTGTTTTTCACTGTCAAAATAATTTTTGTTACTTATTTTTTTCTTAATCTACTGCATCTATATGTATATCTGTACTAAACACCGGGCAACTATCCCCGAGAACGTCTCCCGTCGATTGTATGTTGGACATTGATTTGAAATACTGAGCTATGCTCTACGGGTTTTATGTTTTACGTAATCTAGGTTTGAATGTATTAATTTTTAAATATGTAAACGCCCTGTGAATAGTGGTAAGAGAACAAAAATTAGCATAAACAGTCGATAAGCAGAAATCGGTCTGAGTGTGATTGAAACAACGCAACATTCTATAGAGGTTGGTTGTGGACGTAAGGCGTGATGTGCGCAGAAATGGAGAAGGAGTGATTATGAGTGGAGAATGAGGGACCACGGAAACGGACGTTTTATAACAAGCCAGAAGCATTGAGAGTAATGTGTCTTACCGATCAGCGTTTAGAAGTCTTTATGGTATAGGTTTGGCTATAAGTATCTATATATTTCACAATTTTTGCGAACCTTTGAATTTAAAATGTCAACTAATAAAATGCTTCGCACTGTGTCACTACACAAATCCTCTCTTACCCACAATTAAAAGTAGAATATCCGGTCAACAAGTTGACCGAAATTAAAAATTATCAATATCAAAATGTATATACATTGTACACCTACTAGTACTCCATGTTTGTATGAAATGATTAATATAGGTTGCCATTTAAAAATCTCAAGTTATTAGTCTTCCCTTTTATTACATTTTATAGTTATTTATTAACTATTTTTTTTTTTTTTTTTTTTGAAAAAGTCATTGTTTTTCGAAATATCAAGTGTATTCATTTAAATGAATCAACTCGTATATAGTTATTGTGCATTTGTATTTTATCGCTTACAAACAATATAGTCGATAACGCGGTCAACAAATTTACTATAAACTCAATAATGTATTGGGTTGTCACATTCAGTTTACTCAAAAATTATTCGTAAATTATTAAAAAATCGATGAATCGTTAAACCTAAGTACGTGCATTTCATTTCCATGATTAAATTTATAACAATTTCGTTGGTATATACTGGTATACGAAGACGAATGGACATTTTATTGTTATGTAAAATATTTTCGCTCGACGTTCGGAAGTGGGAAAAGACGCCATGGAATTTCATAACAATTGGATTTACGTGGAATTTAATTAAAATACGTTCGGATTCGTTTTATATATTATACAATTTTACTCGATCGGCAGCTGCTTCAATTTACGATTTACGATATTAAACGACGTGCAACGAAATGATAAGTTTTCATCCAAACATAGCGGGAATATCGACAAAATTAAAAGAATTAAATTAATTATTATTATAAATATTTTTTTTCGTTTGTATATATAATGCAATACATTAAAATCTGTTTTATCTAACAATTTATCTAAATATCGTAATTATAACGTTTAAAAGCGATGTTACCTTTTACCGATATACCATTACCAATAGATATGGTGAATAAAGTTATTATTTTTTTTTTTCTAATAGAAAACTTTAATCAAAAAGCAATAAAATAGACTTTTTTGTAGAATTATGGACCTAGTTTGTGCGTTTCGAGTGAATTGAAATAGTACAATAAATATTGATAATGGTTATTTTAATGATAATAATTATCACAAATATCCATAATGTTTCTTATAGTAATAAAAATAATGCAAATTATACACAAGAAAACAGCCGGATCACTGAAATTTGACGAGATTCATTATAAATTGTGTAAATCATCATAAATTGTGTTTAGTGGTCAAAAGAACTTTAGCTTAATGTAGTGGATTTTTTTTTTTATTTACACTTTAATAGTTCAAATTTGAATGAAACTTGTAAGAAACACGTCATTTTACGTGATATTTTTCGATTTAGGTAAGTTGAATTTTTAGGCCAAGGTTAAATTGTCGAAAATTTTACATGGGGTGTTACATCAGTGTTGATTTATGTTTCAATAAAAAAAAGTTGACTGTAAGCAGTAATTTTTTTTATGAGCATTTTTAGTTCACGTTTTGACTTAAATAGTTAAAATTTCAAAAAATTTTAATCAAATTTCTGCAGAACATTATACACCGTTATATACGGTTAATTGTTGTGTACAGAATTTTCGTATTAAATAAATTCATGTACCTATTTTTCCTTCCAAATTCTTCACCTATATTACAGTGGCAGCACCGAACTGCTGTATTTTCCGAAACTTACTTTCTTATATCTTTCGTGTTATTGGCCAATAAAAAAAAAAAAATATATATATATATATAATATAAACATCTATGAAAACGCTTCGTTGTGAAAATGTTATTTAACCTAATAACCGTACGCTGCGGCAGCACCAGCAACGATGACATTGGACGGTGAAAACGGCCACCACCACATTGTCCTCAAAGTCTTTATTGTTTACATGAATGGACCTGTACACGATACGCCAAAGAATAATATAGTTGCAGAACAATAACGATGAGGTTAAACCGAGTTTAAGGTCGACGCTACGTAAATCGAAGTTGCTTGTCCAAGTCCCGACTCCCGGGCTATTATCGTTTTTATTTTTAACAGACAAAAGTGCCTCGATCGTAATAGTGGTAAGTAGTGGCTTTACCCCAGGAATAAAGATGACAAAAATAACATAAATGTAAAATTGTAAAACCGCCTGTTTTTTTAATGTTTTACAAAACAATTTCCGAAAAAAGTTAATACTTTCCGAGATAATCAATGCACCGACTTAAAAATAAAACCATGTGTTAATAACAAAGGTCATTTACTAATAATACAAAAAATATGAAATATGTTTAGGCAAAAAAAAAAAATAAAATAAAAAATCAAACTTGCACAAATTCAAATATTAAAAGTAACCGAATAACTTATTTGATGTTAATACGGTCCTGACTTTTTATGTATTTTGCGATCGTTTGATTGTAAAAGGACAACGTGACCTCAGAAACGAGGCCTTTCCAGCGGACGACGCTCATGAATTTTTTTTTAGCAGCCGTCATTAAGATTTCAAAAGTTTCGCGGTCCACAGACGGATAGCTAATCGTGAACGCGTTCATTATTTCGGTGTCATATCTCTCGACATTCCCAACCGTTTAACTTTTTCCAATTGAGCACGTGGTACGCGCGTTTTTGCGACGATTTGTAATGTTTGTCACAAATCGAAAAAATAAAGTAAATTTTATGAAAAAATTATCAATCGAATGTTGGAAAATATTATACACTATCACGGTCACTATAACCAAAAACGCAGTACGGGTTTTAATCGACAGATTTACGTTATCGAAATATTCGCAAACAATAAAAAAAAATACAAATGAAATATGAAAACACGCATCACCGCCATGGCCGATGAAGATCTCGCGTTCGGTGGAAAAAAACTCCCCGACCTTTGGCTGAGCACAGGATAGAAACATATTGGGCACCGTGCCCGAGTGCCCGTTCTATTCCGGCCGACGCGGATTTCTCGCCATCACGTCCGCTCGTGTGTTGTAGTTGTTCTTCAACCGGACTCCCCGGGATCTCTCGGTATAATAATAATAATCATAATAAAAAAATAATAATAATTACGTCACGTTCGCGCTCCAAAACCATAAACCTCAAGTCGGTGCAACACGCGCCGCGTCTATGATTCCGCGAAATCTGGGACGCCGGCGATAGCGTATTGAAGTCGACGTTCGCCGTTTTTTTTTCTCCCGTGTCCCCGCGTTCAAAACATTTCGAGGTGTTATTTTCTCGTGAAAATGATATTCGGATTTAATTTTCGACGCGAGATTCCGTCCGACTTTGTCGTTCGTCAAAACTGTACGAGGTTTTCCCATTCGGAATTTACAGAGCGTGTTTCGGCGCGAGAATAAATAATGTATCATAATATTCTCGCCGGAGGGAAGTTGATTGCTTCGCACACTATATCGGTTTCGATTTGTTTACGCAGGGTACCGCTATCTTATAATATTATACGAGCGTATTATTAAATCCGAATACTGAACCACGCTTACAAATTAAAATCTAGAGACGCGCACTCGTATACTATAGTCATAAGGAACTGTACGATGAATTATTTTTATTAAACCGGCCGAAATCTGGGCGCGGTATATTTAATCCGTTTTAAAATAATCCAATTTCAATATTATAAATTGCTGTGTGAATATAATATTTTATCGTTTTTGAAAACCTCGTTAAACATTCGATTTTGTCTAAAAGGCTTTGGAAAATCTATTATTATTATTATTTGTTTTAGATTCTGAGCGGAGCGAGGAATATATTGGTTTTACAATGATGTTTTTTTCTATTTCTGTAAATAACTTATATACCAGCAAAATCGATTTTATAATAATATCACTTTTTCTAAAAGAACGCCTGACTGGTGTGGTACTTTAGGGAGATCATTTTTTGATTTTCCCAGGAGTTTTCTGAATAAATGTGAAAAACGCAGGGAAACGGGAAAATAGGTACAACATTAAACAAATAATAATAAAGAAAATATGGAATTATTTTACCATAATATAACATGTATATTGTTAACAAAGCAACACTATCAACCAAACTCCGCTAAGAATCGTTTTTTCGTTAGTACTCGTTAATTATTGCTTACAGATATACACTAAATTAACTGTAATAGTAGCTGCGCCCGTCCCTATTATTTTTTTTAGCTTTTTTTCGTTCGATCTCGTGTTTTATCGATGTGTTTTTGAATCGTGATTTCGATGTTCAAATTAATTTCGAACGAAAATGTTTTATTAAACCCAGCGCTAAATATTTGACATTCCGGTGTTACCGCTGTTGTAAACATATTGCGACGTAGATATAACGAATTTCGTACACAAAAAGCTTGATTTATTTTTTATATTATTTTTAATTTTTTTTTTTTTTTTTACATTATGCAACATGTCGTCCTAAGAGAACACGTGTGAGTGATAAGTGACGATTTATTAAATTATTACATGGCGTAACACATAGATGTAATTTTAAATATTTCACGGATTTATTGTAAGTTGATAACCGATAAAGAATATTATAATTTTATCATAAATCATATCTTTTTATATTCTTAATAAAATTTGTAAATTTCACATGATTTTTCGTCAAAGAATTATTGTGGTCGTGCAGTTCTGTTTTATTTTATTTTCAATATACTCTAACAGTGTGAGGATAAAAATCACAAGAATATTATATTTTGCTCGAGTTTGATAAACCAAATTATATTTTCGTGTGTATAATTTATTATATAATATACTAAAATTTATTTATTTTTTTTGTAAAATTTCTTGTTTTAAAAATAAATAAAACAGAATGTGATTGGTAATTCGTTATTAATGTATCTAATGAGTTTTTTTTTTTTTTTTTTTTTTTTGTTTTTCTGTTGTATTTAATTAAATTTTGTATGACAAAAAAAAAACAAACAATAGTTTTCTCTAAAGTATGTATTATTACATTTTTTCACGACGTAAACAAATTATAACTCTAATTCATCTCGATTCGGAAAATAATTTCCTTGTTATGGTTTTATAATATTATATAGACTAATGACAGTATAGTGTAGAAATATCCGGAATCGCCAAAAACTAATCGTTATATAATTATAATATAACTATAGTTATAATTATATCAATCATTATTTAATCATTATTTTAATTTGAAAATTTAAAAAAAATTTCTATCTACAAAAAATCTCGATTTTGAAATGCAAATTTAAATTTTTCGGATTTAGAAGTTTGAAATCCGTAATTTTGGATTTTAGATTACGAAATATGGATCCTTCGTATTTAAGATTACAAAATCAAGATTTCTCAGATTTTTCAGATGGTTCAGATATATTTCACGTCACTAAATATAGGCTAATCTAGTTAAAAAACAAAGCGAATTAATAATGTTTAAGATTTTTTTTTGTATTATACTCATACCAAAACAATGTAATCGGAACGTAATAACGAAAGTAGAAATTAATTTATCAAATAGATACCTACATTTTACATATACCTAAGTATTTATGTTTCAAGTTTTTTTTTTTTTTTTTAAAGGATCTTTGTATCTTATATTTTTATTAAAAGGAATGTTGATAATTAACGCAACCAACCTATATTTTTCGTTAAAAACATTCTTTGTTTTTTGTTATATTTTACATGTTTTGTGTAGGTGTCTCAACCCACACTTGTTGTACTACTAAAGGCGTACAACCAAAGGATATTTTCAATGGAATATGTTGCAAGTATCCATATTCTTTAGAAGATATTATTTTTGCTCTCATATCCGATGGGTTCATCCCACGTCTTCCTTTCGTAAATTAATTTCTTTAAATTCTTGTTACTCATGGTTTTATACCTTTATTTTTTGGGGGGAGGGAGAGGGAAGCTAGAATAAACTTAATACATTTTACATTAATACTACTTTATTATATAAAATACATATTCGATCGGGCCTTTCGTCTTAATCTCCGTATATGTTATCTACGTCTATTGTAATTTATTATTGTGCATCCTTGTTCTTGCTTTTTTTAACAGGGCCTTCGTAAAACTGTGGTTAAAATATTATATTTTTATATTCATTATACGAATATTTCACGGTTTTAAACGGTATTTTTATTTTCTTTATAGTTCGTTTAATATTTGAGCTAAACCGAATAATGCATAGAAAAAACGGTAAATGTACGAAAATAATTATTTTATTATTCAATTTTTTGTTTTTCAACGTGATTCAGTTAAAAATATTCATAGGTTTGAAATTAAGGCATAAAACTTCTATTTGCTTTTCTAGACGTGGTAAAATTTTCATAACATTTGAACCATTTTTGAGCTATTTTTAGACATTTAAATTTTATGAGTTTTTATACGTATTTTTTATTTGGTAAATACTCAGTCTCTGTGGATAATATTATTTGACTGTTTATTTCAACAATATTATCCACAGTAGAGCTTTCGAATTTATTTGAAAGGAAGTTGATTATAAGTCGAAAGAAAAAATTGAGAGTAATGTAGTATTTTTATTTATTTTTTTAATGTTTTCATATCAAATTTTGACAAAAATCATAAATATTAAGGCCTTCCAAAACATGTGTAACGAACTTCGCTCCGAATTGTTTTCCTTTAGCAATGATTTATCGTTAGTTACAAATATAAATTAATACATTTCTGTATCTTAACTTCCCAACAATCCACCTACTTCTCTTTGTTTTTTTTCTTTCTTTAAAAAGAACAATACTTTTCTTTTGAATATTTTAAACTCGATGTTCTATGAAAAATTTATTTTAGATCGTTGATTTTTAAAAAATATAACATTTTTTTACTCGAAGTCAGCGTACCCCTAAAACAAATGGAGACAAAAAGTCCCTCAAGTTGTTCTATTATTTTTACCACTCGTAGTTTCTACAAACGAAAAATAAATAAATAAAAGTTATATTAAAAGAAAATAAAATAATACAAAAAAGATACGGTTATACTTCGCACAATGGGTGGGGCACCGTTTTATGCGAGCAGTTGGGAAGCTAAAAGGGAAATTTAATGTATGTTTGTACGCAACGATTAATCATTGCTAACAAACAACGATTCTGCATGGACTTCGTTTAATAGTGTTGCTCTGTCAATGTATGTCATATAATCGTTAAATTATTGCATATGCACATATATTTTATTTAATGGTATCTATTTAATTTGTAACTATTCTTCCGTTTTTCCTACGTTGTCTTCTCGTGTTTTTCCCGGTTTTCCCGGGATTAAAAAATGTCGTTATAAAAGTATCACGCCAATTAGATTTATTTTCATAAAAAAATGCTATATTTGTAAATCTGAGCAAAGTTGCCAGTCGAAAAGATCACAGGAAAAAAATAAACATCATTCTAAAGTCAATACATTCCTCGTTCCGATCAGAATCAAAAAGTCCACTACCAATATAATATAAGACCAAGTAAAATACTGTAGTCAACTGTTATAACTCATATAACCAAACTATTATCCTATATTATGTAAACAAAATTAAAAACCTTTTTGTATTAACACTACTTTAGAAAAATGATTTTCCTTGTAAGTGGCTATATATTAAAAGGAATAAATTCTATCTGTTTTCATTTTTTGATGGGAGAAATATTTCTTTTAGAAAACATAATTTTCAACATTTAAAAATAATGAAATCGGTAATGCTGCGGCACGCCGTAAATATTTGCCGTTTTACCTATAATTTTCTTTCGGGTTTTTCCCAATTATTTTGGAAACTTTTTGAAAAATCTGAAAATGACCTTTCTAATACAACAACTAGATAAAATTTCCTTTCAGAAAATGCACTACAGTGTATACATCGGTGCAAGATTTTTGATAGTAAAGTTGTTTACAGAGAAAAAAGAACACTAAAGTAAAACCAAGTGATCCCTCGTTATATGCTCCGAATTTAAAGAAATATATTTATAATTAATTATTCAAAATATTTTTGTGAAACGCACAATGTTATACACAATGGTCTTTGATTTCAAACAGTATGATATGAACTCAGTATACTACTTCAAGATAATAAATTTTAATTAATAGTTCATATTATTGGTTATCAGTTAATTTTAATTTATTCCGCCACACTCGACAAAAATGTACCTACGTGTAGCAAAATCAGTAAACTTTTAGATTATTGATAAGTGAAATTGTATTACGATCGGGCCATCATACCGTTATCAATGAAATAACAATCATAAAGAGACAGAGCGTATTTTAAATATCTACACAAAAATGGATCTGTTTGTTTTCAAATTAAATTTGTGTGTGACTTATACCCTAACCTAACCTCTTATATTTCATTTAATAGTAGTGCTACAATAAATCGTCGTTTATAAATCGTAGTAATATTTCATCCATGCGCTACAAATATGATGATTTGAATAGTTTATTGAGTAATAAATATCATTTCATTCATTGTGATTATTTAATAATTTAATTTCTACTCGATTTACTCGTGTTAAGCGATAAAGTAAATTACTAATACAGGTGGAAAGTAAATTATTCGATGGAAACAAGAAAAAAAAACAAAAAAAAAGTCTATTATAGGCATTAAATTATTTCGAGTTTATTATAATATAATATTTAACGAATCCGTATTCGCGAGTTGAGAAAATTCATACATATTTAAATAGTAATTTATAAGTGACGCTCCAATTAAGGATTTTTCTCGTCTCTACAGTATTTCTCTTTTGCATATAATTTGTACAACATTTATAGTTTTTTTGTGAACTGAAGATAATTACCTACATATTTCAAGACACTGATAGGTATTTTTACTTAATTTTATACATAAAATAGTCGAAACGCGTCGAAATTTTCAACGCAAACACAACGTCAATTTTTATATGAACTTATTTACACGTTTACCCAGTCAATAATAATTATGTTCTCGATAACGTACTATTCGATTTATCTTTTTCTTTTTCTATAGTTTTGTATAGTTAATTTTAAAGCTGTTTTCACTACGTCCCACCATCATTTCCTTTTTCTGCTGCTTGCGCAAATTTTTCAAAGCCACTTATTTGCGCTTTTTTTCCCGGGACGGCCTCTAGATGTTCTCTGCTTGATTTGTCCCTTTATTGCCAGTTGTTCACTCATGACCTCTTCACGAACGACTCGTTCGTTTGAGCTTTAATACTTTGTATACTTCCTCGTTTGTTGTAGTTCGATATTTACCTTTTTGAACAATTGGATTATAAATACTCCGTATTACCCTCCTATCAACGATCGTCAACTACTCTTTCACCTATTTTACCGACCAAGTTTCGTACACTTTCGATTGGAATATTACCCTGGTTGAAGGTGATTCTAGTGCAAGCAAGACTTTCCAGATAGGAGTTATTATTTAACAGTTTATCCAGTGCATAAAAGACGTATCGTATATTCGTTTAGTTACGCTGTTGCAGTTTTTAACTGCATTTTACAGCACGTATTATTATTTATATTCATCAGATATATTACTCGGAAAGTTGAATGTCGAATTTCCGTAAGCAAAAAACGGTCTCAGCTATATAGAGGCAGTTGTAATTTACGAAAATGCACAAAACTCCTTTCTGTTGCGAATTTAATATTATAATAATTTCATGGCGGGAATTATTCAATATGACATTAATGCACCGTGCGTTTTTCCCACGTGTAATGTTATTATACCAAGGGAAAATATAATTAATAAATAAAAAACCGTCACTGTATGCACGTTATATATTAAAATAATGGGGAAGCATAATACTCGTTCGAGTTACGGTTTTATCATTTAAATTGAAATCTTTAGAAAAATACCTATATGTATATACATTTCCTTTTTTTTTTTTGAAAAGCCAATATAATAAACCGACTACACTGCAGTCGTGTGTGTACAACTTTTCAAACGACGGGACATTTTGCGTACGAAGTTTTGTAAAACGCTTTTTTTTTTTTTTTTTTTGCAAACAAAAATGTCTTTATCCCCGGTCTCGACGGTTTTATTTATATACTTTTTATCACTATGTCAATAAACTGTATCTGCGTTTTATGGAAATATGGCCCCATAAATTTAAAAAAAAAAAAAAAACACAAAACACAAAACAACAAAACCGTCGATGATTGTTATTTTTGCGCACCGAGTAATACCGACATCCCCGTCCTTATAGTCATTGACAACCGAACCGTCGGATCGTTTTCCCTCGGGTCTTTAATAAAAAAAAAAAAAATAATAATAATAATAATAATAATAATAGTATAAAACATTCGGCTAAACGATCTACCCCGTAAACAATATAATGTACAGCGTACGTGTTTTTCATCCGTCTATAACCGTACAATTGGATGCTCGCAAGGCGATCCTCCCCCGCGTATAATAATCTACCTGTGTCCGGAATCCGAAAGAAAACCCGTATGTCTACGAACAATAATATTTCGCAGCAATATACGTATTATTATGCTGTTGATATAAATGTCAGGTCAGTCGCAGTTCGGGTTCGCGCACGAGATCGCGGCGAGAAGATACGGTGATCGGCTGGGTACAATGTCAAGAAAAGTGTGAATAGCCGAAGGATCAAAAATTCAATATGTATAGTAATTTCGCGACTAATATCGTTATCGTAACACTTGCAACGCGAATAGATATCGAATTCGGCCCATGGACGTCGCTTACACCGGTATTGTGCGCAAGATTTTGCATTGTACAGAGCAATTAATTTAATGCAGTATACAGACTGGATTTAAATTAATTAAAAACCGTTGGAAATGTCGTTTCGAAAGTAAAATGCACATAAATTTCAATAACCTACCGACTCGAAATAGCACGGGGCATTTCCGTTATTAAATTTGTTTGCAGAGTACACGATGATAACTTTTCGACGGTATATAAGGAAAACGTCAGAACATCTACGCCTGTAGGGAACCGCGAAACTTCAGAAATCGATTCGGTGCTGCGAGCGATTGTTCAAAAAACCACTGAACACATATTATTATTATTATTATTATATACGATTATATTCTCAGAAAATCGTAAAAGTTCGAAAATTGATATACCTATGCGTACCTACATTATAAGACAGTATACCTAATACGTTTTATATTTTTACGTAAAACTCTAAAACCCGTTTTTTTTCTTCAATACCGTAAAGAAATTAAAAAAATTAAAGACTACCCGTATAAGCGATATTTTGACAAGTAGTTTTTTTTTCAAACTTCGATAAAATCAATATTATTCCACTAATGACTTATAAATAATTTTAAAAAAAACAAACGTTTGAAATCGAAAACTGTTATTATATTGTATAAAGCCTCGTTTTTTTCACTATCGTATATTATACAAAATCATTAGTAATTCATTTTCAGGTTTTCAAACGTATCCCAACGATTCCCATTAAATATGAACTGATCGACAATATATCATTCAAATTAAAATGTCTGCACTTATTATCCCGTCGTTTTTTATGCTCTCCGTGTATATTATTGCATATAAATATGACGGATTTAGGGTAAGATTTCAAAATGTTCATGAGTAACATTAAAAAAAAAAAAAAAACCCTACTTACATAATATATCGTAGTTGCCTATATGTATACATCAGCCGCCGCTTGGATTGTCCAAACCCGAACGAAGTTTTTATAGTATTCTATTGCAAAAAGGTTTTCAGCACATTGTATTTATAATATATTTTATTTTATGAGCACAAAGCCGCTCCCGTATCCCGGATGCGTCTCGTGTTATCTGTATAAGCGAGGGAACCGGTGTTTGCGTTATAGACAGTCTAAAAAAAAAAAAAAATCACAACAATAATAAATATGATTTTCAGCCTGGTAGATACATCATTATGCACGTCTTATACCAGTTCTTCACTTTATCGACATCCATTATTTCGTATACAAACAACAGCTGCGCATCGAGTGTAATGTTCGTAACTCCCGGGATTTAAATATTCCGGAACCCCGAACAATATTTTTTCTAAAACATACATTTCGATGGATCGGTTTGAAAAACGAATATTGTCACACTGTGCTGTATAGTTTTGTGTTTCCGCGGTTATAGTTTTAAAATCGTTTGACGGATTCTGATCGAAACGAAAGATCTGCGTGTTGAGATTCGAATCGGTATAAAATGTTGCGACTTGTATATTTCCAAACGATAATATTTCAATATTTTTAACTCCCGACGAACATTGGGTTTCGCTAGAGATTCCTATTAACGTAAACTTAACTATGACATTAATATTATACTATACTGTCATCGTTATTAGTATCAAAATTAATAACACTAAAGCAATGGGAACGGACGGCTTCGGCTCGTGTTTTTTTCACGGAGTGATATTATCCGGCGAGTGTATGTTCCGAATATCCCCGCGTGCAAAATATAATGAACAATATATATATATATATATACAGGTATATAATATTACCTATATATAAATATATATATATATATATATTGTATATATAGGTACATTATATTATATACCTATATCGGCTATACATTTTCGATCCGGACGTTTGAAAGGTTTTAAGATTACGAGTAAATATGGATAAAATATTATGCCGGGCGTTTCCGCGTAAATGCTCGACGTGTGAAAAATATGGCACATTGCTCCGTGAAAAACGGTTAGATCGCTCAGGTTTCGTTCCTTGTATTGACAAAACGTCTATGACATTACACGACAACTACGGTGAGCTTTTAGGTTTTTTTGTTTTTTTCATTTTGTCTCGCGCGATTCTTTTCTCCTTTATGTTTTGGTCTGCACAACTGTGTTTGGTTTACGCACAAGTATATGTGTTTTTATAATATAATTCGTTCGTAAAAAACCGATCCGAGCCCTTCTTCCACGCGTCGAATGGAGCGATGCGAGTGGATGATTGCGACTCGTTCATACATTATTATAACTAGGTTAAGTTTTTATTTTAAATTTTTCCTATGCGATTTAATTATACACGGCTTAACTGTTCGTCGAACGGAGTTTTGCAGCGAGTATAATATTATTAAAGTGAAGTATCTGCGCGGTCACCGACTGGGAGGCCTTAGGCTCTTGTCTCGGTGAAAATCGTGGCACTGACGGTAACTGTGTAGACATCGAGTGCACGTCTCTAACAGACTTCTTTTCCATTCCATTTAATTAATAATAAGTAGGTACCTGTTTCGATTTAAAAACACAGCGATCGTGACTTTCGGTACGATATAGTAATATCGTTTAAATAATCATTTATTTAAGTTTAATAGGACGCGCCGTAACACACGTAATGCGATTTTAAAAACTGTTATGCGCAGAACAACTTGACTGAGGTCTTATTCAGTGGCACGGTGAAGAATTTTTTAAGAAAACCACGGCTTCTGAATTTTTTCGTCAGGACACTAGATTTTGAGGGGCTATTTTTTTAGAGACTTCAATACCTATCTTCATATTTATTACACATTAAACATTTAATGAGTTACTTACCATATAATTGAATAATATTTAATATTGTTACGTATCTAATTAAGATTAATTATTTGGTAACTTGTTTCATTATTATGACAGTGTCACGTGGTTGGCTGTAAAAGTGTAAAAACTTGTATTATCGCGTTACATTCCTTAATTCGTCTGTGATGTCATCAGCAGTGTCATCGCTAATAATAACCACATCCAGTCAATCGCATCTCGTCAACTGACTCGTAAACGAGATGAGTAATATATCCATTTTAAATACCACCGGTATCGTCACAAAAAAATTAAAGAATAAAAATAATATTGGGATTAATCATGTAGAATTTATAAGTGATTAAATAGTATGGTAAAATTGATGTATAGCATGTTAATTATGAAAAGAAATATACCAATAAATCAACAAGAAATTATTGATAAGATTTCTCAAACATCAATATTGTTAAAAAAAAAAAAAACACAAAAAAAGACGGACATACTTCGCACGATGGATGCAGCCACTGTTGTTGGCGAGTAGTTGGGAAGGTAGGATATAGATAGGAAAATAATTTATAATAATAATATATTTATTTAGCTAATCACAAACAGTACATAAATATATGTAAAATAATAACAATGGAAAATTTGCAACTCCTCATTAAGCATAGCTTGTGTCGGGGAGTTAAAAATAGAGTTGCGATATACTTAAATAGATTAAATAGATTAAATTAAATATATATATATATATATATATGAGTAAAATCTATATTATTTAAGAATGGCTTAAATGAATTTAAATTATCCAATTTTTTAAAATTAATATTTAGAATTCTACATGGTTTAACTACGACGGAAAAAGAGCTTTTTACACTAAATTGTTTATAAAAGATAAGAACACAAATATTTATACTTTCTTTGTAACGTGTACTATAGTTGTGAGTGACACGATTAAAATTATTATTAAATTTATAAAAGGTAATTAGACCATTCTTATAGTATATATTTTTCATACAAAGTAAATTAAACAGATCATAAACCAAAATATTACTTGTAAACATAGGTATCTTAAAAATAAATATAACTACACGTGTTAAAATAGAATTCAAAGATAAAATTATGTGCTTGACCCTTTAAAAAAAATACCATAATTTCTAACTGATTGATCCAAAGATGGATAGAAAATTCGTTCCATAGTAATATTAATTATATTACGCATATCATGAAAAATATAAAAAATGTACGTACAATATTTGTCAGATTATCAATATGGTAATTCAATTTTAACTGATTGTCTAAGATGAGGCCTAAATATTTAATACATTTAGAATTTTCTAAAATTGTTCTAAAAATTCTACACAATTGCATTGATAATTAAAAGGAAACACATACATTTTCAAATCGGAGTTTATTAACTCGGAGTTAATTTTAAATTAAATTTATTTTGATTTAAGTAAGTTTATTTACAAAAAATGATTATTAAACCAATCTTTAATGACTTTTACAACATTATTAGCGTTCATAAATAAATCATTTACAGTTTTATCGTGGAATAAAATCATCAGCATAGAAGATTATTTCAGCATTAATATTTAGATTTAATAAAACATTTAAATAAATAAAAAAAATAAGAGTTCCAAGAACAGTACCTTGAGGAACATCGTGTGAAATAGTTAGAGGAGAGCTTAAAATATATCTATTTTTACTACCTGCGTTCTATTAATTAAATAAGATTCTAATAATTCATACATTTTTCCTTTTAAACCGATATGGTGTAGTTTTTTTTTTTAGTAATAATTTATTATTTACACAATCAAAAGCATTTTTAATATCAAAAAATAATCCTAAAACTTTTGACCCACGATCTAAGTTATCATGAATAAATTGATTGAACAAAAATAATGCGTCGTATGCGATATATAAATCTAATCTTGTAAAAATTGAATCTGTTTTATCCAGTTTACTTTAATATTATTTTAAATAACGGGACTTACATTTACAAAAAATGTATTAAATGTATTACAGATATCATTTTTATTTTTGTATAGGTAACCAGTATTATCACGTATTTCGTTAATGACGTATTTCTTTCGTTTACTACCAGTAACTTCTTTAATTATTTTCAAAAGTGGATTAAAATCTTTCCCAGTTTTAATTATTTTACCAGGATAATACAAGATTTTAGCACTTTTTATTAATTGATTCAATACATTTCTATAACTATTATATTTTATTTTAAAGTCTCTATCGAAAGGTCTATTTTTTATCTTATTCGTAATTTTATTTCTTACTCTAATCCAAACAATTAAACCTTGGGTAATCCAATTTTTAATTTTTTGCATTGTATTTCTTATAACTAATTGAAGATAAATTAATAAGTTCTGATATCTTAAGATTTAAATTACTAATTGAATTATCTACGTCCGTATCATCCAGTAAATTATCCTAGCTTTCAGTGTCGATCAGCATATTTAAATAGACAAAATTAATTTTATAATTATTCTCAATAATACCATTATTACTATTACTAATATTATTGATATTATTTATAAAAATTAACGATAAACCATTATCTACTAAAAACGATTCTGAGTGGAGTGATGCTTTGTCGACATACTTTGCCGTATCATGGTAAAATAATTAAATAGGCGTTATATATTTTCTTTAATCATATTTGTTTGATATTTTACCGATTTTTACGTTTTTCCCGGTTTTTCACATTTTTTTGGGAAAACTATTGAGAAAATCGAAAAATCACCTCCTTAGAGTATTATCAGGAGAAAATTCCCTTTCAGAAAAGAGTCGAAATCGTATGCATCGAAGAAGGCTTTTTGGTAGAAAAAGTTTTCACATAAAAAAACATCTCTGTAAAACCAATACGTTCATCGTTACAACTCAGAACCTAAGATGATGCTTAAATATGACTCTTATTTTGTTTAATAACTTTGTTCTATAAAGTAATTGAATTATACAAATATTTCAAATATTACAATGAGTATCCAATACCACGTAATCTTGACACTGTCCATACATTTGAGAGTGAGCACATCCAGGTTCGAATTAAATAATTAAAGGGCGAAAGGGGTAAAAAGAAACCTACGTTAAAAATGCGTTACGATAAGGTGCACCAAATACTTATTATGAATGTAGACGAACAGAGTAAATGTATAAAAAATAGGGGCTGATCCCTTTTTTTTTCACTTATTAGTTAGTGTTCGTGTCATATTATGTCCAATTAGGTTCTTTGGTCGCATATTTAAAAACAAATTCACTACGCTACTGTTCGTATTTACAGTGATCAGTATTTCTGTGATAATATATTATGTTAGAATAATTTTAATTTAATTTGTGCGACTTACCGCAGCGAATATTTTAATATGAACATGTTCATGTTTAATTCATCATATATCACATGTCTTATATTATATAGTGAAGTTTATACAGTTTCATGAAATCAAATTCGTGTTCGTGTGAATTATTGTACTTTCACTATAATATTATTACGACTTGGTGTACATGCGAATATTTTCAGGTTTTCCAAAATGAATGATATAATGCCCTGTGCTCGAAAAATATTCTACCCGTGGGACCACAATAATATACCGTTCTTGGAGAATATAAATTCTATTGTATTCAACTACGCTTTTACATACGGTTAGAAAATTCAAAGCTCTTGTGAGGAAGTTAATCATTTTTTACAATTTAACATAATCATATATTTTATTATTAAAAATCTAAAATATTGTTCTTCGTGTGATTTTATAAATAAAAATGAAAATCGTTTAACATTAGTCCTGCGATTTCTGTGTAGAACTTGTTTAAAACGCTGCACTTGTTTATCCAGATGGAGCCACCAAATGTAGAACGGCACACATTTTCTCCGCAAGAGTGTGCATCGAGTTATTTTTTTTTATAAAATCTAACGACAATATTCAATGTAGTTACAATATATAAAACTAGAGGTCTCTTCATAAAACAGTTTTTAAAACGGAAAATAGAAAACTGCAATCCGTAGAATTCTCAAATTTTCAAATCTTTTTCTCTTTTTAAGTTTTGATAAACAAAATGTGATACACATTATTATAAATTAAACAGTTCTCGATTATGTATATCTCTTGATATAACTCGATTATTCGTCATAAGTTTTTTTTTTTTTTTTTTTAATATACGTCTACAAGTTCTAAACAGAACTTTTGAATGAGATTAATCTAGTCGACATAACATAAAACATTATATTTTCGAAAACTGACAGAATGGATTCTAATTTTACTAATCAACTTCAAAAATGAGGTGGTTAAGTATTTAATGTTTAAATATTTATTGTATATATTTACGTGTACAACTTGAGAAAATATACATAAATGTAAATGGTTTTTTTCTCAATTTCAAAGTCTTGTAAAAAGGTACTTAAAAAATGAATTTACAATAGATAAATCGGAATGGCAAAAATTAAAAAAAACTGAAATGACTAATCTAAAAATAAAAACCAACCCACTACTTCGCACTATGGGTGGGCCACTATTATATGTGAGAAGTTGGGAACATAGAAGGAAAATTTAACGTATATTGTTACGTACATCTGTACGTAACAATTAATCATTGCTAACCAAAAACGAATCCTGAACGAATTTCGTTTTTAAATGTTTTGAAAGGCCGTAATATTAAAAAAATTTGAAAATAATAAATTTCGTAAATTTCCTCATGTTTCCAACGTTCCTTCCCGGTTTTTCCATTCGTTGTGAAAATCCCTGGAAAAATCAGTGTTATTTTATTTTACAAAGTTTTATTTTGCATATTTTTTCATTTTTTTGACGTGTATTGCATATTTCTATATTTTATAATTTTCCATTGCATTATAGTGTTTTTAAACCCATTTGTTTTACTACTGTTCGTTGGTTTTGCCGACATATGCCTATGGTTCGTAAGAAATTTGTTTTCTCATATTATCTAATCACTTGTAGATTATGGTAAATCGCGGTCGGGAATGGTTGTAATTATTTTTGTTTGCATATTTTGCATATTTTAATGATATCAGCGCATAAATGCATGCATATTTCGTACGATTTTAGTGCACATAATTCCGGGCCCTATTAACAAATAATCGAAACAGAACTTAATTTAGTTCCACGAATGAAGTATATTATGGAATGTTCGCAGCTTATGCGAAAACGCGTTCGCTGTACCCCTACCGTCTAAAATATGCTCGCCGTCCTTTTATAGCGCCCAAAACAATACTACCGCTCTTTTCGAATATCTTTTTATTCTCATAAAAGCTTGCCCGGACATTGTTCAATTTTTTTTCTTTTTATATGCAACTATAATATATCTATCGGCAAACGTGCTTAAAATTTTTGTTGCTACTATTCTGTGCCTTTGCTGTTTTAGGAAATGATTTGTTTTGTTGTAGGTTTTACGAGCGTTACGATCGAATACGACTTGTAACGCACATATTATTTTAACTAGATGCACATTGGGCCTGTAAAAATTTTGCCCTCCCGCTGAGAGAAACTGAAATAACGTCCATGGCTCAATTGTTAATTTGCCACCGACTTCAATGAAATTTAAAACGCATTATATTTAGCTTTTTTTTTATTATTACTGTTATAGTTGCAGGTTAATCAAATGTTGAACAAGTTATATTGTACTGTCGATCAATATATGTTTATTGAACACACCTACTTTACTTATATATATCTTATACTTTTTCCCGAACGAAAAGAAAACGAAAAACTTTTTACCTCAGGCCGAAAACCGTATTGGAAGCTAGCCAATACCATTTTCGGATTTTGACCGTAAATCAATCATAATGTAAATTACACTGAAATATAGTGTATATACTAGAAAAAGTTATAAATAAATATACCCTATACCTGTCACTATCCGGCGTTGCCCATAGTTGGGTTAGGTCTTTCAAAATAAAAAATAAAAAATTCAATTTTGCATATCTCCCCATGTTTCCAAGAGTGTCTTACTCCTACAGTGTTTTTCTCCCGGATCATAATTCAAATATGCGTACCAAGTTTAGTTGAATTATTGCTCTAGACGTGTTTTCCGACATCAAAAATAAGAAAAAATAAATAAATTTCAATGTCTAAAACTCAAAGCACGAACACCGTATGGAAATTATTTGTATTTAAAAATGTCGATTGGTAATAATATAGGATCGTAACATGTTCGGCTATATAATTATTGACTTTTGGGTTTATGATTTTGCAGGAAATTTTAAAGCACTACATTTAATATAAGTCGCGAGAACCTAAAAATAAATATTTATGTTTTTATTGTTGTTACGTTCATACAAATTTACCAATAGACCGTATAAAATTGTATTAACGGAAATTTTAATTAACTTTAAACGGTGTTCGTGCGATTTTATTGAAATGAAATACAACTTAAAATAATTTTGTAATTATTTGACTATGACTTATTAGTATTGTAATTTGTATGCGTTGTACGAAACTTGTGAAAAACCATTTTAAAACGTATCAAAACAAATAAAATGCAGTGAAAGAAACGTATGAAAAATGTTTTAGTCGCATATGTAGTGTAAAAATATGAGTAAAGATCGTAAAGTATGTTGGTATCACTATAAAAGTCTACTCCCAGAATTTATAAGTAGTTTTAAGCCCGCTCACTTCATTCTTGGCTTTAGTTAACAATGTCTTTGGTGATAGTTTTCTAGAATTCGCGAGTCCATTCCTGGAATTTCAGAGTCGTCAAAACTCGGATACAGGAATTCGATAAAGTAATACGAGAGCAAAAATCATAGTTGTGTACACGGGTCTTGTAGCTTAATGTAAGGCTACTTATGATGTTTACATTGATTATAACTTAGTGCTTATTTTCCTCGTTAGTTTTTTGACTTCATCTATCTACTTAAGAAATTACAAACTGTACAATTAGTGTTTTTTAAAACCGAGTTGTTTTGGTTTCAAACAAAGGCATTAATTCGATTAGGCAGCACGGTTTAAATAAACATATATATATATGTTGAAAAACATCTCAAATTAGACATTAATCGTTAATAATATATATTTTTTTGGTTTGGTGCGAGAGAGGGTCAAAGATAAATACATAAATTTCAAAAATAAAAAATTGAAAATTGGTAGTTGAAAAATATAAATTTATTTATAAATATTTAATGTAAAGCCCATGATTATTAAAGTTTATTTTAGATTTTGAGTACATTGAGGAATTGTTGGTTTTACTATGATGTTTTTATCTGCTGTAAATAACTTTTCCACTGGAAATTTGGCTCGTCAAAAATTTTCAATTAAAAAAATTACAAGTTAATTTTTTGTTACATTTCGGAATTAGTTTGTGGATTTGAGATTTTTTTTTTTCATTTTCCAAATAGTGTTCATAATTATTTGGAAAAACCAAAAATAAAATTATAAGAAAAACGAACGAATATATACAGCACGTCACGGCGTTACCGATTTCATCATTTAAAATTTATACGATTTGTTTTTTATCAGAAATCTTGCTTCAATCAAAAAATGCCAATTAACCTTTTTCGTTGAATTTTGAATTTAGTTGATGAGTGAGAGAGTTATTTTTTAATTTTCTAAGTAAAAGAAATGTTCATAATAGTTAAGAAAACCAGGAAAAAACTTTGGGACTACGGTAATAATAATTTCGTTACTTTTGATTTTGGTTTTTAATTGTAAATCAGTTAAAAATAATCGTTGAAGTTTTCAAGTACTCTGTGGATAAAATTGTTTAACCAAACTAAAATGCTTGAAGATTTATTACGAGATTTATTAAAATTCTGGTAAAAATATGATTGCTTAGAGAGAAAATTAAATAATTGTATTTTACTTTCCCAATTTCTCACCTACAACTTTACTGTAGTGTCGCCATCATCCGCAGTATCAGTTATTTTATTTTTTAGTGTTGTTTTTTCATTTGCCCTTCTTGCGCCAAGCGCATTTATATTCATTATTAATTTTAATGAAATAATCATTTTTTAATTCTATTCTATTCTAAAAATAGTGTCTTATATTTTATTTCATATATTGATCAATAGCTGTATAAATATACAAAAAAATAGCATTGATTATAAATAAATTATAAAAAAAAAAATATAAATCATTTAGTATCAACGTCATCGGTTAACATGTCAAATCGATTATTATGCTCAAAATCTCAGCTGAATCGCCTACGTTTATTTGTTAAAATACCTGTTTAGTATGAAATAAATAATACAGCAAAATCGGTCAATAAGTTTAAGTTAATAAAATCCATAAATATCACCCGTACCTACGTTGCTATCTGTTAAAAACGACCAGTTTTAAAAATTACACTGTTATAATATTACAATATTTTAGATACAAATTGTAACTTAAACAATTTCCAAAATAAAACTTTTACATTTAAAAACGTATGTTCATCTTCTACTTTTAAAAATTAAACACGTAATTAAAAACTACTAAAAATATACGAAAGTTATAATTTCAAAATTTCGATGGACTTCTATCATCATATTAAAAGTCAAATTTAACGATGATTTTCCTTTTATAAAATAAATAAATGTCGTGTGACGGTATATCGTATCGGGTGACCGTAGGATTTCCCTAGCGTGTTTTCCCCGCGAAATGTTGATTTTAGACCTTTTTAAAAAGGAAAAGTACGCGAAAAAGGCGGAAGGGAATAATAAAAAAATAAAAAATAAAATAATAATAAATTGGCGATAAAACAACGTGGGCGGCTGAACGTCATTTCATTTCGGGCTGTATTTATATTTATCGTATAGGTCTTCCCGAGGGGGAAGTGTTAGCTGTATAATATATATATGGTTGTTGCCGGATAATATATTACCCCAGCTCTTATATCTGAAAGGATTATTCCTCTTGTTGTTCTTTGGCAATGAATGGTTCGACACGAAGGCATAAGAAAAAAGTCACTATCGAGCTTATACCCCGCCGAAATAATAGGTTTGAATTGGCGATAATGATGACGAATGAAATTTAGTCTGTAAACAATAACGTGTAGATGAATCATAAAAAAAAAAATCGCATAATACTAGGTTATACATTAAACTGGGAATAGTTTGTTATTTCCAGCAAATAACGTAAATTATTTCAATTTTGAATTAATTATTTTATGAATTAAAGGGTTTTTTTTTTTAAAATATTATAATCTAGGCACTTACTCTGATGACACAATAACCTTGGCTTCAGTTATCGACTCCCGGATAGTATCTCAACAGCTTTAAATCATCTCAATCTGATTCAATCATTAATCATAAATTAATGACTACAAGTTTATTACCTTTTCTGTAATACTTTTCGACTGTCCGCCTGCCTTTCTTAACAGTAACCCAATTTCTACTACCTCGACGGTAAAATATTTAGGTCCTACATTGGATAGACGTCTAACTTTGGCTCATCACCATAAAAACAAGAGAAAATTAGTTAACTCTAGACTTTATCTTCTACGCCCATTTCTCCGTTGCAAGCTATCCCTCAGCAATAAACTACTAATTTATAAAGCCTTTATCAGACCAATGTGGTTCTATAGGCATCCGGGTTTGGGTTTCTGCCAAACCTTCCGACCTAAGAACAATTTAGGGCTTTCAGTCCATCTGTCTTCTGCAAATTGTCCCTGCCCTTTGGTGCATCAAAAATGCTTATTTTCACAATGATTTTAATATTGGATCGATTAATCAATTAACCAAATCTCGATATCTTACTTTTCATTCTAAATTAGATTAGAGACGTCTGTCTCAAACGATAGTGGCCTAAAAATCTACTATATTATTCTATCGAGTGGCACCACTGAAAGCTTGTCCAACATTATCTATTCCCCGCCCACCTTTTGAAATATCGAAATTACATATTGTATATTATCGTTGTTTAGATTGTAATTATTTTTATTTCACTAAAAATATATATATATTATAGTATAGGATTATGTAGAGCCCTAAAAAAAACTCGCGTGAGTCATGACCATTCTTCGTCGTTTCATTTTATATTACACTATATAATACATAATATAGTCTGTTACTTACTATGGTTCGCATTCGGTTTACGTTTTAAAGGATTTCGTCACTCTTTTTCAGAATGCATAGTATATATAACCGTTGTATGGGAAAAAATGTAATAAAACAAATAAAAATCGGTTGTCACAAATCATAAGCAAAAATCAATATATTTACGAAGCTGATCGAGGATAAAAACTACTGAGAGTGATGAACCCGAGCGAAAGGATGTTTATTGAGGGATGTCATCCTATGACCTAATTTCAA